TGCTTTTCAGCTGAGTGCTTTTCAAAACAATCGTCACTGGCTCTCTTTACAAGGGCCCTCAGCCGCTCTGAGGTTTGAAATGCTGCCTCTGATCTGCTCATGGGGGGGGGGGGGGGGTGGTATGTGTGTGAAGGGGTATTAGCTTCATTGTGCATCTCTGTATTATATTTTATTGCTTCCCTTTCAATCTATAACCCATTTGTCACTCGTCCAACGCGGGTCAGACAGGACTCGTATTGTTATTTAAAGTTACCGCCTGACAAAACACATGAGATATTTTGATGAGGAGGGAATACATGACATCTAAATCCCTCGTAAATAAGGCCAGCAGATCGCTGAACAACAGCTGAGGGAAAGCCAGATATCACAACGAGGCTGAACCTCTCATCAATTAGCATGGCTTCATGCAGGATCACACGATAATGTGACGCACATGCAAAGACATGATACTAGTGAGTTAGAAGCACTACATTAAAGGGATTGGAAGTTGTCAATTGGGGAAGAGCAGATGTAGCAATAATGGGTGCAACACTGTTCAAATCCGGAGCTCTTGCAGTCCACAAATGTATATATTATAACAATAATTAGTATTTTATTCCCTCTGCAGTATTTAATTGTACAGCCTGTTCTATTCAACATGTTCATAGTCTACTTATTCATGCTTTTAATACCTGCAGCATTGTGTCACTTGCACGATTTAATGACTTTAGTACAATGTATGTTGCTCTGTTGGAGGAGCCTGGGACTTTTAATTGAAGCTTTTAATTGCTAATAGCTATTGTGCGAATGACAATAGTACCTTTTAACTCTTGAATCAAATGCAAAGACATGAGGCATTGTTAAAAGCACTACATTCAATTGGACTTCAAGCTGTGAGAAGTCGAGCCAGAAACTGTGAAGTGCAGATTTTACAATCGGCTATTTAAAAGTGTAGTTGTATTTGTGTTAAACCTCCATTGTATGTAACTTTTTCGACTCGATATCTGTTCAATAAAACCCAGCTTTCGGCTTCGTCCAGCTGCAGAAGTCGGGGTTTGTCATTTCTTTTGGACCTGTGCTCCTGTAGTTGTCTCCCTCGTTCCCTTCCTGGCAGCTTTGAGTGTTACACAGTACGGTCGCACCACTTAACTACATCTTTTAGCAGCTTTGGCAGGGTCAGACGCCCTGGAGTCTCACGGCAGACTGTTGGGTAAATTATGTTTTAAAAATGGGGAGGACAAAGTGAAAAATGTCACCTGTGAGCTGTGAGAGTGTTGAAGTACTGCAGGAACTCTGCACTCAGCTGGAGCGCTGTCCAAAATGTTTCTGCAGAGTAATGAAGCTGCGGCATGCTGCAGGTTTATCTAATTAGTAAGACTGCAAATCTGATTATTATTTTCATATAGTTTAGAGAGTCTGAAGATGGTTATACGACTATTTCAACGACGAGTTTTCATTTTTTCTGAATCCAGCAGTTATTTTCTTACTTGTTTGCTTGATAAAATATCAGAACACATATTCATCCTAAACTCTTAAAGGGGACCTATCATGCAAAATGCACTTTTGTACGTCTTTTATACATGAATATGTGTCCCCGGTGTTCCAGGGAACTCACCAAGTGTCAGAAAACACAACCCTCTCTATTTTCCTCCATACCCAAATCTCTAAAAAAGGGGCTGCAACGGATCTGATAAAAACTGATCCAGATTTGAACACTGTCCTGACGTCAGGACGGTGGCGCTACGGCTATTGGGCCAACTCCACCAATCAGGAGGAGACAGCCACGGGCATTGCCGTTCGAAAGCGCTGGAGACGCTGTAGTACATATGCCAGGCCTGTAGGTGGTGCTGTTCTCACTGAATCTGCCCTTGCTAAAACAGATCTAAAAAATGTCAAATTGAGCGAAATGAGGCATGGCTAAAATGCATGATCTGTTTGGTATTTTGAAAAAAAAAAAAGTATAAATATGCCTTATATAGGTATGGTCCTACACTATATTATTCAAATATAGCATGATAGGTCCACTTTAAACTCAAGGCGTTGTCTTTAAACTTTTTGCAGGTTTATCTAAAGAGGATTTTAATGTTAAGGTTAATTAGTAGGACTGCAAATCGTATTGTCATATAGTTTAGACTAGAGAGCACAAAGTACATTTTGAATCTAAAGATGCTTATACGACTATTTCAACAACGTGTTTTCATTTTTTCTGAATCCAGCAGTTATTTTCTTACTTTTTTGCTTGATAAAATATCAGAAACTAGCAACACATATTCATCCTAAACTCCCAACTTCCTGTCTTTAAATATCTTCTTTTGGCGAGGAGGTGGAAGACCAGGAAATCTCCAAATGTTTTCTTTGCCATTTTTGCATTAAAAATTACTTAAATGATGAATCAATTATCAAAATGTTGCGCAAGTATTATATTGACTTATAGAGTTGTCAATTATGTAAAATGTGTTTTTCATGAGATTTGGGTTTTTACCTTCATTTCTATCTAAGAAATGCGAGTAGCAGTAGTAAATAGCGCTGTACAGTACAGTGCTAAGTGTGCAGATGAAGAGGCATGCCATCTAATTTGACCTCTGACCCTCCTTGACCTTTTGCAGCCAAAATAATGTGACTTGACACCTGAGCTCTCACCTTGAAAATTAAGGTTGGGGTAGCGACAACGAGTGTTTGAAAATTAAGTTAACCCAATACTCCTGCTTCGATCCTTCACAGCGTTTATCAGTGAGCTGCTCAACTACTGTCCAGTCATTTACACTGTTTGAACAGAGGAGCTGAGAAGAAAGATGTGACAATTCACTGAGGTTTTTATTGAGTTATTGATGTGTTTTTTAAATGTTAAGTATTAGTTAAAAGAAATAGGGCAAATAGGACATAGAAGTGACTTACTTTGACTTGTTGTGGATGCCAAATGATGAAACTTCACAGGACTGAAAGCATATTAAATCTTAATGACATCAAGAACTTAAATATTTTCATTCATTAGGATTATTAAATGTCAGCAAATAGAAACCACCGTCATAAGTTTCCAGAGCTTTTCAAAAATCTTTATTTATGCGACAAACTCGATTTAGAAAGTCAGAGACAAGCATCTGTCAAGCTTTAATGAGTGAAGTTATGCTAAAAAAAATAGTCAAATTAACAATAAAATGGCTGAAAATACGTTTTCTGTCAACGTATTGATTGTTTGTTCCGCTGTTTGACAATCTAGTTGATATGAAAGACTTGTATTTCTGAAGGACACGGCGTCAGGTTGAGTAATTCGAGTGAAGCTTGTGCAGTTGTTGGCTTCAGTACGAGAGGCACACACACACACACACACACACACACACACACACACACACACACCTCCCCCGCGGGGCTGTGTGTTTGCATTGGTTCCTATAGTATGTGTGTGTTGGTATGTGTCTGAAGATGACACACACACCGTCAGTTTGTCACAAATTGCATCATGGTCAAACGACTTGTCTTTCACACGGCTCATTCCTGCCGGGACTGACGGCGTATGGAAAACCTTCTAAATGAGTCCGCACATCAATTACATCAACGCATTCACACCTCGCTCGCCCCATAACACCAACCCCTCCGCCTCTCTCTCTCTCTCTCTCTCTCTCTCTCTCTCTCACATCTCTCTATTCATCACTCCTCTGCCCTTTCCTTCTGTCTATTCTCTGATCATTCCAGCCTCTCCTCTTTCACCGCTTCCCTTTGCTGCTTTATCATGGCCACAAGTCTCATTTTCACTTTGTTACAAGTTTAGGGGACAAGGTACAGAAGCTAAAAGAGTTACAGCAGTTCTTTTAAAGCGTCAGCTAAAGCATTGAAATCACACATTTTAAAATTAAGCCATAAAATGTCAATATCTAGTTAAAAAGTGGTGTTAAAAAAATCTTGCGTCTACATTTGAGACGTGTCGATATAACAAACACCTTGACTCAATAGGGTCTAATTAATGTGACCAATGACAACCTGATAGCGGCTCCTTTTCTTCAGGAGCGTATCAATATTTTCGTACTAATCAGACATTAATTGATACTCGTTGAAATGTCTCAAAATGTTAACTTTTGCTCAGTAGATTTCTCCACCTGCGACTAAATCTAAACACGTCCTCTTTAGTGTGTGTGTGTGTGTGTGTGTGTGTGTGTGTGTTTGTGGTGAGACCTTGACCTTGACTGCAGTCCCTAATGGAGGAGGCTGTTCTGTGAACGAGTCCCTACTCCCTTCCCCCCCCCCCCCCCCTTGCCGTATAGCGGTATGTATCAGCCCATAAAGCATGCTTAAGTCCCACTCTGGTTTCAGGGAGTGGACCCCCCCCCCCCCCCTCTTGGTTTAACCCCCCCTCCCTCTCGTTCCTCACACTCTGAAATAGCCACGTCCTTGTCCCCACACCGAGTACAGGACGAGTGTGAGTGTGTGTATATATGTGTCTGCGGTTGATTGAGGAGCAGATTGCTGGTGACAGGTCACACTGCGTTCTGTCCCTCCGACCCCCCAGATTAGCCACCCGGAGGCCCCCCCCCCCTCTCCCTCTCTTATGGACCCCCACCTGTTGGGATCCCTCTGCTGCTCAGATCACACACACACACAGACACACAGACACACAGACAGACAGACAGACAGACAGACAGAGAGTGGACAACCTGCGTTAACAGAATTCTCCTATTTGTCCGTCACTCACTCTGCTGGTGATAAAGGCCATTAAGTCATTAAGGTGTGTGTGTGTGTGTGTGTGTGTTGCCCGGCTGGGGTGTGTGTGGGGGTTGAAAAGACGCCTGTCACAGCACGCTCTCATAATTGCCCTCTTAGCCAATTATCCCCCATTTAAAAAGCAAGTCACCTGCTCTGCTACAATTCCACACACACACACACACACACACACACACACACACACACACACACACACACACACACACACACAGAGAAAATATAACCTAGGAACTTCATATTTAATAATAGTTTTTTTACTGGTCTGTTGATACTATCTTTATTCATTATGCTGTGTGTTTCCCTTCCAGATTCTGATGCACACCAAAGACCTGGTTCAGAAGGTGGGTTATTAAGTTAATATATTACAAATCTAGTCATGGAAAAAACTGAAATAAACTCAATATATGTCATTGATTTAATACAGTGCAACTATATATATATGTATGGTATATGTGGAAGTACATCTAGAGAAAGTACTTCCACTTATTCCTCATATTTACTTTATTGTCCAGCCTTGAAACTGATTTCGTTATTCGATGTGACTCAGATGAATCTTGAGGTCATCTACGGAGATACTGACTCCATCATGATCAACACGAACAGCAAGTCTCTGGAGGAAGTCTACAAACTGGGAAATAAGGTTAGAAACAGAAGAGAATTTGTGTATTTCCTTTCTTTAAGTTTGGACGTTTTTCCTTGAATGCATATATGTGTGTTTGTTTAATCCAGGTGAAAGCCGAGGTAAACAAGCTCTACAAACTTCTGGAGATCGACATTGACGGCGTGTTTAAGTCTCTTTTGCTGCTGAAGAAGAAGAAATACGCCGCCCTGGTGGTGGAGAACCACGGCGAGGGACGATACAGCGTGAAACAGGAACTCAAAGGACTGGATATCGTCCGCAGAGACTGGTGTGACCTCGCCAAGGAGTGTGGAAAGTACGTGACTTATCATAGATCTCACTTGTTTCGCATTAAACACAAATAGTAACCAGGAGGTCAAAGGTATGATAATACAAATAAAATAAATAATGGTTTCTCTCTGACAGGTAAGACACAAGACAACTGATGCAACAATATCAAATATAAAACACCTGCACTCTCATCTGCACACTTATGTAAATATATTTAACATGTTCATACAAATGCACAACTTTTCACTGTGATATATGTTTCAATAGTTACGTTATCACTTTGCTGTATTATGATTTTAATTTGTATTCTATTTTATGTTTAAAGTGTGAATCCTGTTTTTCATTCGGACCGTGTTGCTGAATTTCCATCTTATCTTATCTCTTCTTAAAATGTGTTCCTCTCCTCTGTTGTTCTTGCAGCTACGTGATTGGTCAAATCCTGTCGGACCAGAGTCGTGACGTGATTGTGGAAAACATCCAGAAACACTTGGTGGAGCTGGGAGAGAAAGTAGCAGCTGGAAGTGTTCCACTCAACCAGTACGAGATCAACAAGGTGAAGACACGGCTATAAGCATCTACATTTCCACACCTTGATAGAAAAGTATTTTAAAGGGATAGTTCAGATCGTCCAATGGGGCGGGGGGGGGGGGGGTGTTCTATGAGGTACTGAGGACCGAGGTAGCAGGAAGACTTGATTTAGACGACTAAATTGAATATTAATTGCACTAATATTTTCACCGCTTTCAAAGCCAGCTTCCAGTACAGAGCCTAGTTTTCTACCACTAACATGTGTGTGTGTTTATTTAATGATATTGGTTAATTGGAACTTATAGAATAGAATAGAATATGGAGGGATGAACCCCTCTGTAATGGTCTCACATGCAGAGCACACAGTGAAATGTGTTCTCTGCTTTAACCCATCCTAGCACCAGGAGTCTAGTACTAGGAGCAGTGGGCAGCTATTGTACAGCGCCCAGGGAGCAATGGGAGTGAGGGGGGAAGGGGGGGTGTCCGGTGCCTTGCTCAAGGGCACCACGGCAGGGCAGGAGGTGAACTGGGACCTCTCCAAGTAGCAGTCCACACTCCATATTTAGGTCTGTTCGGGGACTTGAACCGGCGACCCTACGGCTCACAGTCCAAGCCCCTACTGACTGAGCCACTGCCGGATGTCACAAAACACTAACAAACGAAGTCATCCACGGAGACCAGCTACTCCTGTTTTCTTCCATTTTAAATCTAAATTTGACAATGGCTTTAAAGAGAGCATAGATTGAGGCTTTAGTTCGCATCAAAACTTGAATAACTTTTTTGAGGTGAGCTTCTTGCTTGTATTCCTGTCCATTTCTTCAATTGACATCTAAGATAAGATAAGATGGACCTTTGTTAATCCCTGTGGGGAAACTCAGTAGTTCAAACAGCAACAGGGTAAGAATGAAAAACAGGACAGCATGGAGTAATTAAATTAAAGATACAATCAAAGATAACAATTAAAATGATAAAAAAACTATGAAATAAGAGATTTAAAATGAACATATATACATATTAGATATATTTACATGTATCTACGTATCGATTATGGATCTTACAATTCACATGTACAATAAGAGTGAAACATGTTCTGGTAGATGTTGGCTGCATTTAAATTGAGTTTATTCTATTCTGTTTCTCCTGTCGTATAATCGTCGTGCTTCCCCTCCAGGCTCTGACTAAAGACCCTCAGGACTACCCGGATAAGAAGAGCCTCCCTCACGTGCACGTCGCTCTGTGGATCAACTCTCAGGGGGGTCACCGGGTCAAAGCTGGAGATACCGTCTCCTACATCATCTGCAAGGTGTGTGGAGCAGAGGGGAAATGATGAAGTTATTTCAAAATATATTAAAACAAGATACATTTGAAAGAAAGAAGTACAAAGTGGTTGTCTTGCTTCTAGTTAAAAAAGATGACATCCTTCATTGAAAGAAGGTTAGCACAAGATCAACATGTTTGAATCCATAGACAGCCGTCCATGTCTTTAGGATTAGCATTCGATTGAAATCAGCATGTTGTCACAAAGATGGATTTTGAGTAAACTCTGTAGTATAACCTTCTCTCTTCTGTCCCCCTTCAGGACGGCTCCACGCTGGCGGCCAGTCAGAGGGCGTACGCTCTGGAGCAGCTTCAGAAGCAGGAGGGTCTCAGTCTGGACGTGCAGTACTACCTCGCCCAGCAGGTTCACCCCGTGGTGTCCCGCATCTGTGACCCCATCGAGGGCATCGACGGCGTGCTCATCGCCACCTGGCTCGGTGAGATACCCTCGACTGATGTGTTTAAAGTTAGGAGATAATTGGGACAAAGAAAACTTTCCAAAAAGCTAATTATGTAACTTTCGGAATATCAATTTGTTTTGAATATTGTATTTATTTTGGATTATTAACGCACAGCATACAATAACGAAGAAGCACTCTATATAAAGCATTTGTGCCATTCTGGATGTTGCATTATATACACTATACATACTTATATTATTATATGTATATTTTCCTTAAACGTTCTCTGCACTGTTTGACCCATTTCAGTTCTTACGTACATGTCAAGAAACACAGATCATGTCAAAATGCTGAAATGTTAGAGTTTTTTTCACAGTTTTTTTACTCTTCCATGATGATTGCTTTACTGGTACAAGGTATGCATTAGGATATGTTTAAATAAAAGTCCTTACGGCATATTTAGTGTGACTATAAACTAGGGATGGGATGCCTAAGTTGATTACATATTATCAAATGGAATAATTCAATGTATACGACAGTGCCATAGCTAAATGTGTTTGGTCTAAAGGTGTGTTTTGCTCCGCTCACCGGACCCTCACAGCGGGCAGAGCTGCAGGTGCTGATCTCTCTTTCTCTCGCGTCGCGGTTATACTTCACTCGCATTTATGTCCAAATCCATCAGATCTAGCTAGTTCTATCTAATGGTATGGCTGCTGCCCCTCCCTACACGCAGATCACACAGACTCAAACCTCATCTTATGCCCAAATTCCAGCTGAGAGGGTCTTCTCTACAGCTGGCCTGATTGTGAATCGCCTCCGCACCCGCCTCTCTCCTGAGTAGACATGCTCATACTCTTAAACAAGAATGAGTATTGAATAGCTGCATTCTGTGCATAGGCCCTGTTACAGGTTGTTGATCTCTGTTGTGATAGGGTTACGTTACCCTAACCCGTGATGTTGTTCGTGTATGATCCCTCTTTCATTTAAAAACCAAGTTATGTTTTAAGCATGAAAGCTGTAGGCCTATAGCTGTCAGCTGTTCAAACGGTGATCACCAGTTTATAGGATATGTACATTTCGGTTAACCGTTTTTTTGGAGGTCGAATATTCGAATATACATTTGCTTTCAAATTCCCATCCCTACTATAAACTTTGTCATTTTGATGATCTATGACTGACATCTAAATATGTGCTCATCGCCACGTGGCTCGGTGAGATACCCTCTACTTTAGGAGACTTTAGTTTTATTGAGAGGGAGGGCCGATGTCACTCAATTATGACTTGGGAAGAATGACTACAAGTCAAGCAGTTTGTACAATAGCAATTAACATATATATGTGAAACAGCAGTAAACGGTAAACCACTCAATCATGTTGGATTTTTACTATATAGGTATTTTTAATTGTGAAAATATTGCTTGTATTAAACTTTTTTTTCTTCCCCTTACATTTATTTATAATGTATACATTGAAATACTTAGTTCAAATACGACCATGAAACTTGTGTCTGTTCAAATAGAAAAATAAATTACAGAAATGTGTTAATGTGAAATATTCACTTCAAATAATTTGAGTGGTAAATGGATTCTTTGAGAGTAGGCAACCCTATGTCTCTCTCGTGTTAAATTATGACTATACATACTTTTTTTTATTACAGAAATAAGTTCAAAAAATAAGTCAAATGTTTGATCAAAGTGTTTAATTCAAATGTAGTAGGTTCAATGTTTTTAATGGGTTAATTCGGATATAGGCATGTCATTATAAATTGCATTATTGGCCCAGAAATAATTGCAATAAACATTATTATTGTCATATTAAGACCACTTTATTCCACTGTTATAATGATATAATACCTGTGAGTAAAGTCTTTCAAAGGGCAATAGCTTTTATTTCTCAAGAATATTTAGACAGTGGAATATGAAAAATAAAAATGTCTAAAACAAAAGAGAAAAATACACAAATAAAACAATAATTAAAGTGTTTTCTCGCTCCGTCAACAAAGCCTTGCTGTTTTTTCCTGCACCATGTTGGGTAAAATGTTGGTTAAAACTGTACTGAAGAACACCCATGTTAATCATGGATGTATAATAAGAACTGGATACAGCGTGGGAGGCGGGGTCTCGTTCTTTCCTATGAGAGCTGCTCATTGGCGCATGAGGACAAAATGGCCCAGCTTTTAAAGAGAGCGAAACGTCACAGATTACCCATCATGCCTAGCTGTCAGAGCAGAAGAACCCGTATGTGCGCTCACAGAGCATGCGCCCCTTAAGCCCCGCCCCCCGAGCTCCCACTCTCGGCTCAGTAGAATGAATGGAGAGAGAAAATAAATCTAGATTCGGCTTTTAAGGTCCTTACACACCAAACCGACACAGACGGACCCGACTGTTGTGTCGCCTCACGTCTCTGCGTCTTGGCCATGTGTCACACTGGAACACACCGCAAAGACTTCAGCCGACGGCCAAGTAGCACGTACGAACTGCGCATGCGTGAGTGGCAATAACTCTCCTTACCAGCAGGCGGCGGTAGTGTGTATTCGTCATTCAAAAGAGGCAACAACCGGAAGACAGACTGCGTGATAACCGAGAGAAGAAGAACAGACTGCGTGATAACAGAGAGAAGAAGAACAGACTGCGTGATAACAGAGAGAAGAAGAACAGACTGCGTGATATAAACCAACAACAAATAGCGTGTGCGTTCCATGTTCACTCTACAGCGAGAGGCTCATGGGGCTTTCCCGAACCTGTGTCGAGAGCTGGAGTTAAATGAAATCTCAGATTTGCCTTCTTAATAGTTTGTTTGGGTCCCTCACTTCCGTTTCGCTTCTCATGCACTGATTCGCTAAACTGAACAGCCAATCAGAGTGATTTCTTTGGCCGACGGCCTTGACACAACGCTCATCGACGGCCTGACATCTATCGACGGCCGAAATCGGCTTGGTGTGTAAGGGACTTTAGTGCATTTTACAACTTTAAGGACCAAATTATTCTAATAAGGGCTATAACATAATTCATACTGGGTAGTTTATTTAGTTTTAAAAAAAGTATCCGCTAATTTACAGACGTCTCTTTCCCAATGTTAGTCAATGGGGAAAAGTCTTTCTGGGCCGGGTGACGTCACGAACTGATACGGAAATTGTAGTATCGCCGTTTGGACACAACGAATATTTTCATCAGAGTCCGGCGCACTTCCTGGGGGCTTGATGTTAACACAACGATATGGAGGTCAGCTAAAAATGATGGAGGTCACGTCCATATTTCATAGGATAAGTGTAACGTCATCATTGTGCCGACCTACCTGCAGACCTTTTTAAAAATAAACACTGGCCCTGAAGTATTTGTGGGGCATGGCTTACTCTGAGTGATGGTCCTAATCTCTCTTTATGTATGTGTTAGCATTAGTCAAAATTCCCGTTTTATAGCCCGTTGACAGCTGAGGCAGCCAAACATAGAAAAGCTGTCACAACTAATATCACAACAGACTCATAAAGGTACAAAGTAGATGTTTCAGTGTTGACTGAAAGTCATAAAATTAAGCAGGGACGGATGGAAAACTTCTAAAGTATTTTGTCTGCTCTGTCCCAGCAACTCCTCTGATTATCGTAGGTTAAAGTAATAAGATTTTCATTTCATTTCAAACCTTTATTTAACCAGGTGGTCGCATTGAGATCATTGATCTATTTTCAAGGGAGACCTGCAGCAAGTAGGTTACACATGAAACATAAAACAATAGAAAACAATAAGGACATCATATTTACAAGCTACATTTACATACCTATCAACATTTACAAGTACCAACAGTATCAAAGAGCATTGCACCTATCCGAGCTTTAAAAACAGGCAGTGGAACCAAATTGCCAAATTCTTTTTGCAGACTGTTCCAAGCAAGAGGAGCTGCGCACGTAAAAGCTTTCGTCCCTAAGACACTGGGTGTTTCTCAATGTCGAGTACGCTTGCTTGGTAGCACATGTCTTCCGAGCGTCTTGCTTCAGAAGCGAGGCAAGAATACTTCCTGGCATTCGGAAAACAAAGAGTGGAACAGGCGAGCAAGTGTGCAGGTGTGCATCATATGAGAGGCCCCGCCTCTTACATTTTCCGCCACAGATTTGGGGAAATTGGTCCGTGAGCAAAGCATTGTGGGGATTTTAAGACCGCGGAGTCTACACATGTGCAGCCTCGAAATTTCTCCAAACGAAGTACGCCGGGCTCGGTAGATTTCCAAGTATGCTTCGGCGGCACTCGATGACGTAGTATGCTTGAAATAGTGGCTCTGGAGCAGCTTTACTCGAGATTGAGAAACACCCAGTCCTTGCACTTGGCACATGTAACAAAACCACATCATGTGATCTCAGGCAATAGCAACTCTCTGTGTGATCAGAGAGCAGATGTAAGGGAGGCGTGTGGCGTAGTGGGTTAGTGCGTTGGTGTTGGGATCAGGGGTGGCACAGGTTCAAACCCCACTGCAGTCAGCATGTCGTTGTGTCCCTGAGACACTACACCCCAAATTGCTCCTGTGGGGATTGTCCACAGTATTGAGTATGTAAGTCGCTTTGGAGAAAAGCGTCTAACATGTCATGTAATGTAAGATGGGAGTTTACCCAGCATGGCTTTGTAGATGAACATGTACCAATGACTGAGCCACCGTACAGTAAGTGAAGGCAGACCTGCTCTGGCATACAGGGTACAGTGATGAGTAAGTGCTTTACAGTTAGTAACACATCTCAGAGCACTGTGTCAGATAGGAAGTACTTTATTGATCCCAATTTGGAACATTTTTGCATTTCAGCAGCATCAAAGGACATGGCATCGCACAATACAAATTTAAAGAAATAAACATTCAACAACAATGTAAATCTCAATTGAAATTAAATAGCATTAAAAAATAAGTAGAAAATATAGTCAGAGGGTAAAGTATGACTTGGGAGGAATAAAATAAAGAATAAAATATATAGGAATTTGTTTAAAAGTTCAAAAAGATAGTTAGATGTCATTATAAATAGCATTATTGGCCCAGAAAAAATTGCAATAAACATTATTATTGTCATATTAAGACCACTTTATTCCACTATAATGATATAATACAGTAAAAAAAAAGTAGAAAATATACATGTTGAATTACAAATGTACAGTAACAACACATAAAGCAGGATATTATATATACATAAGTATGTGAGGAATGGAATATTAAATATTAGATTGAATATAAATGCAACAGGATGAAACGACAGGGAGTTTTAAACCAGAATCATCTTGTTTTTTTACACCAGGTCTGGACCCAGGTCAGTTTCGCGCGCACCAGCAGTTCCAGAGGGAGGAGGAAACAGGCGGCATGCTGGGAGCTCCGGCGCAGCTGACGGACGAGGAGCGATACAAAGACTGCGAGAGTTTCACCTTCACCTGTCCTCAGTGCAGCACAGACAACATCTACACCTGCGTCTTCGAAGGGGCGGTGAGTGAGAGTCAGACATCACAGTCCACCATTACTGCTACGCTGCTATGTCCGCTATCAGTTTGTGTACAGACGGAGAGATCGAAATACCGTTTCCCACAATCCCGTATATAATTATATGTATGTCGCTGTCGGCTGTGCGTAATGATGAAAAGCTGGTTCGAGGGGCCCCCAGTGAATGTTTGCCTAGGGCCCCCACAGACTCTAGAATCACCACTGCCTATGGCTACGCTACTATGTCTGCTTACTAAAAGATTTGAACACTTATATTTATCCTCAAGCTTTAGGAAAACTGTATTTTTCCACTTAACTTAATTATATATTATATTTTCTGTATACGCATAGTCACAAGGGGCCTTCTGGTGGAAATACTTTTATCTGCAACATCATACTGTGTTTACCACGCAGTGCAGGGAGGATATAATGCTTGTATTTTGACTTAATTTTAGCTCGCTGTACCTGATAAACTGGCAACTGAGTTCATATGAAACCTATGCAACCAGTGTTCATTTTGTCATATAAAACTAAGACTAAATAACTTCTTCAACAACCTTTTATTTTATTTTATAAATGTTATGGCTGTGACGAAAAAATTACAAGTTGTCACTTTATTATTTATTATATACAGGGTTCCCGCGGGGTCTTAAAAAGTCTTACATTTGATAATCAGAATTTAAGGCCTTAAAAAGTCTTAAATATGATAAAAAAAAATAAGAAAGGTCTTAAATATGATTTAGAAGGTCTTAAAAATGATGGGATTTGAAAGGTACTTCTGTGTTGCGATCGCGTCTAAATGTGTTTTGGGGGAAATGTCCGGGCTGCAAAGTAACCAGTACGCTAAGAGCCCTTCAGTTCCCCCCAACAATCTGTATTGAAATAAATCAACATGGAACCAGTAATCACTAACTTTGTTTCCCCTGGCCCCTTATCGGAGAACACCCAGCTAGTAACCTAGCAACCAACCAAGCTTCAGCTAGCAGCAGTCAGAAACTCAGGTATCTTCGAATCTACTTACAAATAAATATGGGGAAGTGTAAGTTCAACCGTATTTGGTTGGAAAACATCGAATTTAGTGCTTGGTTGAAACCAGTGGAGGGGAACGTGTTTGAAGCCCGCTGCACCTTTTGCAAACAAAATTAGCGTTTGTTTTGCTAATGTAGCGTTAGCTGGTGCAGCAGCTCCCGCAACAACATCGGGGGACCTCCGGGCGACGTTTGGGTCTACGTCAACCCTAAAAGCGGAGGTGCTGTGGACGCTAAATACCGTAGTTAAACACCAATCATACAACAGCATGAAGGCAGCAGAGCACTGAATATAGCTCTTGTCACACACACACACACACACACACACACACACACACACACACACACACACACAGACACACACACATACACACATACACACATACACACATACACAGAGACACACACACATACACACTTTTTGTCTAACACGCTAACACAGTTCTGGACTGTTATGCTGTTATGTTCAGTCATCGTTCTTATGATGAACATGAATACATTTACTTTGTAAGTAATTATGGGACGTATTTCTTCTTTCATAGCAATTTTCCTTCATACTTTCTTGCCGTGAAATAGGTCTTACATTTTATTCAAAGTGGTCTTAAAAAGGTCTTAAAAAGTCTTACATTTGAGTTGGTGAAACCTGCAGGAACCCTGTATATAAACACTAGCTGTGACCATATTAACATGCAATATTCTAGATGAATAAAGACAATAAATGTAGTTAAAAAAACTAAAAAAATGTTACTCAAATCTGTCTTTCAACAACAAACCTTGGCAGACAGAAATGACGCAATATTTTGGCTGAAATAATACATGTAACCCTAATGAGTAAACCACCTTTCATTGACAGAAGCTCTACTAAAATAGTGAGAGGCTTTTCTTTAACAATAAGACTGAAAACAGCTGACTAAATACACTAAAGGGAAACTAATAGGGACATTTAAAACATGACTAGGACTGAATAAAGAATAGCTAACAATAATAAAGCTATATCTTAGGCAGCAGCAGAATGAGTTGTGGAGATGCACACTCATCAGAGAGATTCAAATAAAGACAGAAATGACAAAGAGAAGATTGCTTTAATCACCATTGGTGTGTTTAACTGTTTAAATGGATTTTTGGTAGTGACTCGAGCACGAAAAGGCGTTTGAGTGTCTTTCTGTGAAGGACTCTCGCTGCAGTCATCCTCCATATTGTGTCTGCGTCTGTATTTTTAGACAGCTGCCTGGCTCCAACGCTGACTCTGTTTTCATTGGCATAGTTTGGACTCCACAACTTGAAAAGCCTTTCCTTAACCCCTGACACACACACACACACACACACACACACACACACACACACACACACACACACACACACACTGATCTCCTACCATTTGTCAGGCCAAGGTCGTGTGTGTGTGTGTGTGTGTTATCAGCGTCTAATGAGGAGCAGGGCACACAGCTTTTCCTCGTCTGAGAGACACTAATAAAACTGACAACGCTCGGTCCTCTGAAGGCGGGGAGAACTTGCATTAAAATAAAAAGGGAGTATTATAAACACACACTCCATAAAAGGTTCATATCATGACACACTGCAGCAGATACACTGGTATGTTTCAAGTGAGACACACACACACACACAGGAAACATAACAAAAAACTATCCAATTTAGTTTGACTTAATCTAATGTTTTTGCACATTTAAAAATATTGAAAGAAACAACGGCTGCAACAAGTTGATAAACAGAAAGAATCACTTTTCTAATATAGGTTAATCGTCTTTCAAAAAGATCTTTAAATTCTGTTTTTAGACGATTTCCTGCTCTTCTCGGTTTTACATTGTATTAAAGTGAACAAGACATTTAATCTCTTGGACTTTACAAAACTGGGATGTCGATTGTTTACAATTTTCTGTATTTTACATGATAATCCAGATATTAATTGATATTTAAAACAAGTTGTTGCAGCCCTTAAACACATACTTTCTTCTAAGGTGCTGTTTACACGAGAACGCAAACGGTTGTATCCGCTACTTTTCTCGTTCGTATAGCCCGTTCGTTCACACGAGGCCGTAACGGAAACGCGGAAACGGACCCCTAAAACGATAACGGGTCCCAAGGTGGATAGATCTGAGGACGGAACGCTCTGGGGGGCCAAACGGCTCCGTGTGTACGCCCTATACGATCATTTCCTGATATCGATGAAGCCATAGCCCCGCCTCTCCCCACCTCTGCTGCTCACTGCTGTAGCATGGTCAGTAGCTACTGACCATGATACAGATGTTAGTGCAAAATCTACAGCTCCTCTACCACAACCATCAGCAACAAGTGGACATGGAGAATTACATGAACTACATGTTGCTAAATCCACCGCGGGGCATAAACAGAAGCGCAACCATGGCAACCATGCTCAGGGGTCTTCTTCGCTGCTTTTGGTGTATTTTGTGGCAGAAGTTACTACGCCACTTACAGGCCCGGCATATGTACTACAGCGTCTCCAGCGCTCCCGAGCGGTCTCGTGTGAACGGAAGACTTTTTTAATATCGTATTTGGTTCGTTTGCGTTTCGTATGCGTTTGCGTGTAAATGGGGTCTAATACTTTAACAGTAGAATATAAACTTAACACAAAAAGTAAGGCAATTTGTGTTTGGTAGAGGATTTCTATGTTGTAACAATGCTTTTTGGCAATATTTTTCATGGGCGCACCCCACATACTCGGCTCTGCTGTTCATCCCACAAAAGCTTGTTCCTCACAAATGTGGTACCATTGGAAAGGTAAGAAAACAGGCTTTCCAACGGTATAAGATTTATTGCCAAAAAGCATTGTTACAACAGAGAAATGATCTACCAAACACAAATTGTCTTACTTTTTGTGTTAAGTTTAGTCTTTAAATGTTTGTTGGAATCACTCTGAACCAACCAACATCTGTCTGATTACTGGTTTGATTTTCCAGCATGTGTCAGAGGCCGGTATGCACACACACACACACACACACACACACACACACACACACACACAGAGAGAAAGTGATAAGACGGTAAGTTAATTAGGGTGGTGAGCATGGTCTAACAGCTCAGGGAGAGGGAGGACAGTTGGGCCTTGACTCCGGCGCTGAATCGGAGCCAGAGATGTTCGGAGGAGGCGTGACGGATGATGGAGGACAGACAGAGGAGGAGAAGATGTTTGATGGTGGAGGGAGGGCGGAAAGATTAAGAAACAGGGAGAAAAATCTGGATGAACTGCAGGGATTTCCCTCGGTTCAGTTTTAATAAAGCAAGGACGGGAAAGGAAAGAAAACAGTCAGGGTCGACTTTTTACATGCTGTTAAAATAGTTTTAAAGTCTTTGAAGGAGCACTTCAGCAGATACACTGGTTTATTTCCACATGAATTGGCTGTAAAGTCAAACAAATAATTCTGCACATAAAGAAATGTATAAAACAGAGCGGAAAATGTCAAAAGTATCTGCTTTTTGATATTGTTGACGTAATCTTTCTACCAAAAATGTCAGAAAATGCTGTTTTCATCCTCTCAAATGTGGAGATTTTCTTGCTTTTCTCTTTTACGTTATATTGGGGTGAATGTATTTGGGATTTAGACTGACACCTTGAACTTTGAGCAACTGCAAAAGCTTTCTTTCTATATTCTGACAGAGAAGAGACATGAATGAACAGTCAGGGCGAGACACAAATGTTTATTAAATAGTTTTCTAGAGGGCTTTTCAACGTGGAAGTTGTTTGGGTTGTTGAAAAATACTTGAAGGAGTGTTAAAAGATACGATCCTTGGTTTTTAAATATTTAAACTTTCCTCAGAAGCTTCACACATCATCCTTGAGTGTTTTTATTAAAAACTGTGAAGCAATAATTTAACCGGGGAGTTTTTTTTAATTTTGGTCGATATGATTTGTTTGGGAGGGGAGATTCCTGTTATGAAGCTTGGAATGAGAGTGGGAGGGGAGGAGAAGGGGGGAGGCTGCTTTCATCCAGAACAAACAGGAAAGAATAAAAACACATGAAGGAGAGGAAGAGGAGGGTAAACTGAGGAGAGGAAGAGGAGAGGAAGAGGAGTTGAGTGGGTTGAATCTGGGTAACACTTTATATTAAGGTACACAAATTAACCATCAACTAGTTGTTAATTAACATGCATATTATCAGTATATTGGCTCTTTATTAGTCATTATCAAACACTTATGAATGCCTTATTCTACATGACCATATTCTACATGTAATAAGCCATTAGTTGAGAGTTTTTCCTCAATAACTCTCTAATCAGTGCTTATTTATTGCAAGTAAGGAAGTTGTTGTACATGAGTTTTGGTCTTAATATGCTCTGCTCAATATGGGCCTAATAAGGCAGTAGTACCACAAGAATAGTACTTCTCCCATAATAACACTTAAAGGTGGGGTAGGTAAGTTTGAGAAACTGGCTCGAGATACACTTTTTGTTATATTCCATGGAATGCTCTTAACATCCCGATAGCAATGAATATCTGAAGTGCTTTGACAAAAAATCCATAAAAAAATGTCATCTGTGGAAGCTGTAGTACTGTAAAAAGCACGACCAATCATCTGAGCCGGCCCGGCTAAAATAACTGGATGGCCTACCTGCCTGTCAGCCTTCCATCTGTGCACAAACTTATCTCGTGCCCTCATTGGTCATGTGCGCGTTCGTGTGTGTTGGAGGAGGGGCTCTGTAAGGAAGTGGCAGATTTTTTTCCGGTTGTGTATTTTCAAATTCTAGCGCACTCGAGCTGGTTTCTCCAAAATTACCTACCCCACCTTTAATATAAAGTGTTACCAAAATCTGATGTATTTTCTCCCAAAAAAGGACATTTGTCGGCCCGTGTGGCATACCTGTTGTCGGCCCGTGTGACGTGTGGCATACCTGTTGTAGGCCCGTGTCACGTGTGGCATACCTGTTGTAGGCCCGTGTCACGTGTGGCATACCTGTTGTAGGCCTGTGTCATGTGTGGCATACCTGTTGTAGGCCCATGTGACGTGTGGCATACCTGTTGTAGGCCTGTGTGGCATACCTGTTGTAGGCCCGTGTGACGTGTGGCATACCTGTTGTAGGCCCGTGTGGCATACCTGTTGTAGGCCCGTGTGACGTGTGGCATACCTGTTGTAGGCCCGTGTGACGTGTGGCATACCTGTTGTAGGCCCGTGTGACGTGTGGCATACCTGTTGTAGGCCCGTGTGACGTGTGGCATACCTGTTGTAGGCCCGTGTGACGTGTGGCATACCTGTGAGTCATTGACTTCCTGCAGAAAGCTTTTCTTGCTGCCGTCAATGCATCATCTAAATGTTTTAAAGCTGTTATATTTAGTGTAATTGTTTTGTTCCGTGACTTCTTCGTTCATTGCATTAGCTGTAAACCGTCAATTGAGTGTTATTAAGGTCATGCTGACCTCCTTCTCTTCAGGCTACAATGATGTTAAAATGTCCTGCACTCAGGGGTGCTGTAAACCTTTTACACTTTCCACTTCTGTGACATGTGCTTTGTTCAGGTTTAAAGGGAATGGCCTGTGGTTGTTATGTTGGGTAACTGCTTTGATCAGTCCCTGCGCGCACACATATTAATGCACCGGACGCTTATATTATTAACTCTGCCGGGAGTCACATTGTAGTCGTTGATTGAGATTGTAGTAAATGCTTTTCTCTAAAAGCCTTTGTAACTAACTCCATCATGTGACAATCAAAAGGTAAAAGCCCCATATGTTTTCTACAAAGGCAATTTCACCTGAGAACAGTTTTAGTGTGACGTCTCTTTTAAAAAGAGAAAGGCCTGCTCGACTACTGGTGATGGAAAAATAGTGTATCGCAGGTTTCGTAAACATTACAATACGTTTAATTGAGCTGACACTTTTATCCAAAACAACTTAGAATAAGTGCAATAAATTATAAAGATACTCGGAATAGCAAGAAAGCTGCAGCTATATTTGCTTTAAATAAGACAAACGACTGTGAGTGCTGGAAGCCTCAGTTGATGAGAATGAACACTTTTTATTTTATAAAAAAATTATTAAATTCATTATTTATTAGTCATTATTATTATATTAAATTAATGATACTCAAATAGAAATATAATACAAAAAAAATATTTTATAAAAATTAAATAGTTAAAAAAAATAATATAAATATTATAATTATTATTTATTTATTTGTAACTATTTAATTTAAACTTTTATAAAAATATTTTTTTAATATTATATTTAAGCAATAGCTCACTTCAGGGTAATTAGCGAACCCATATTAGACAGAGCGTTGATCCATTATTTGGCTATTTATTTACATTAATGTGTATGCTGCCGTTTATTGTGCACCCACTGAAAACCTGTCCAGCATCAGTAGCATGGCTTACGTGGTTACTTGTATAGGCTGAGGTTGTACTCGGCTGTTGCTTGGCGTGGCGAGAACATTGCTCCACTTTCTCCGGTCCCCGAGATTCGGCTTCCAGTAGCTCTGGAGAGAGCTTTCGCACCTGTGGCCACTAACGGTCATAATTTCTCTGCTTTGTTTCAAGACCCGCATCAGAAAGCTTTTGAATGGTGGTACTTTTCCAGTTGGTCGACCTGCTCTTCACGTAGCTCTGCATGTCGTCGTTTAGGTGCTTTCTGGAGATAGGCACTGCTCAATCCACTCCTCCATAGTAAGACCACCCCGGAGGTCGAAGTTAACCTTAAATGTTTCCATCTTAAGCTTTGTTAGTTAGTTAGTTTCGTAACGGACGTAATGTAACAGTTGTAGCTTTTTCTCAGACGCGGAGGGATACTGACTTGTTGTGAAAAGTAACTACAATTCTACCCGTGATATACGCTCATGGCTAAGAACCAATCAGATTGCTTGATTTGACTTGTCCGTTTTATAATTCTATTTTTGTATCATTCATTTCTATTTCAACTTATTTTTAAGTCGTATTTATTTCTGTTGTGTTTAATGACGTAGGTGCCGTCGAGACAGGTTGGCTTTCATTTGGCGATGAAAAAATCCACCTTTTTTGACGTTCAAGATACTCAAACTATAATAATAATAATAATTCATTCTATTTAGAGGCGCCTTTCAAAGCACCCAAGGACTCCTTACAATTCATAAAATATTCTAAGGAAAGGTTTAAGAAAGTACAAAATGACCGTAACAGGGGACATGTACAGTGAGTAGGATTGTGTTTGCAAAGAGTTGTTCTAAGCATCAGTTAATTAACGGCGCCACCTTTGTCTGTGTTTCAGGGGGTGAAGTGTGAGCCCAGTTTGCTGCGCTGCTGTCACCTACCCTGTGGGGAACGTCCCATCGACCAGGCCGTCAACATCTGCAACAAACTGCTGCTCGACATCCGGCGCCACATCAAGAAATACTACTCCGTGAGTACAGCTCTCCACATTACAAAAAACTCGGCTTTACACACACTCAAAACCACACTGATGTATTTACTACTTCACCAAGAGGAGGGTAAACTGAGCAGGGTGTTACGGCCCGTCCACACAGCGGCGTTGGAAAAAGCTTGCCGGCGGGCGTGTCTGAAGCTCGACCAACAACCAATCACATGAATCTCCCGCCCCTGATACACAAGCAGCGGTTTGATTGGCTAGAGCTTGTACTGGCATATGATTTGATTGGCTGACGCTTCTGCCGAGGCTTCAAAAGTTGAACATTGCTCAACTTTTGCAGCCTGCAACGCCGCTTTGCTTCCCACAATGCAGTTCGGCGAAAAGTGACGTCACCCCATTCAAAGTGAATGGGCAGACGAGCCGTTAATGTGTGTAACTGCATTTTGAGTTAATTGACTTGAACTGGCGGAAAAGCTGATTTATTTTCTCCCAAAACAGGTAGAAATACTACTCCGTGAGTACAGCTCTCCAAATGACTACTGCTGCAAAACTCTGCTTCACACACACTCAAAACCACACTCGTGTATTTACTGCTTCCCCACCTGCAGGGACGCAAATGGATTTCATTTAGTTTTTATTCAGACTCCTTTAATACTGAAAATGGTTAGATTAGCACAGCTGGCCAGCCCATTTCTTTTTCACCTCTCTGAATCATTTTTCCTCCAAGGAAACTTCACAAAAACAAATCTCTTCAAAACATGAATAAGAAATATGAATTAAATGTACATTTTTCGCACCGTACCACTTTTTCTAGCATATCAAAACATTGCTAAAGTAACTTAATTATACTTAAGCTGACTAAATCAAAGCGTTCTGATAAACTGCATGTAATAAAATAGTCAAAAACATGTGAAAATTGACCCTCCAGTAAGTGTTTATGGAAAGGTTGGACTGTATTAACACAATTTGAGATTCAACAGCAGCGGTAATCATAAAAGAGGCCTTTTAAAACTGAATTTGGACGAGAGATGAAGGAAACCTCAGCAGGGCACTGCGCTGACATTTTCCACCAAAGAGCACATTATCCTCGCGAAATGAAAAGGGCAGGAGAGAGATTTGAAGGTGCATGATCCGTGAAAATACTTAATAATTCTTCCTTTGAATACCAAGTTTAACATGCACTATTTGTCAGGTTTTTTTTTTTTAATATCATAAGGTGACATTTAAATGATACATCTGGGGAAACTGGGTCATTGGAGAAACTGCACGAACTAGAAATACAACAAATGATTTGTAACTTTAAAGATCAGGCAGATTTGTCTCAATTATCCAGGGATGCTTTTTGCTTTAAAGAACATTTCCTATTTCCTACACGCTTTACAGGGTGAATACTTTTCTACAGTTACACACTTATTGACATCTCAGAAGCATGGAAGGTGGGAACATTGATCATTTGAGCTATATATTGTTAGCTAGTCACATTTACACTTTGCAGATTAATTGGGTTTCGTCAGTCAACACTGTGACACTTTTCTATGTCTCACAGTGGCACTTCTATTGGCTAGCGCTCCAACACATTGTAGGTGATAGGCTAAGGGGCGGGACATCTCTAGGCGGTCGACCAATCACAACAGAGCCGGCCAGCTAACCAATCAGAGCAATCTAGGCTCTGGTTTCAGACAGAGGGTGAAAAGAGGTGCTGCAGCACAGGCAGTATGAGAACAATAAAGAGCTTTTTGAACATTAAAGCATGGAGACATGTAGAGACACTACATACTGATATACACCTGAACATCAGCAGGAGAGGACTCTTTAAAGTAGAGACACTACATACTGATATACACCTGAACATCAGCAGGAGAGGACTCTTTAAAGTAGAGACACTACATACTGATATACACCTGAACATCAGCAGGAGAGGACTCTTTAAAGTAGAGACACTACATACTGATATACACCTGGACATCAGCAGGAGAGGACTCTTTAAAGTAGAGACACTACATACTGATATACACCTGAACATCAGCAGGAGAGGACTCTTTAAAGTAGAGACACTACATACTGATATACACCTGGACATCAGCAGGAGAGGACTCTTTAAAGTAGAGACACTACATACTGATATACACCTGGACATCAGCAGGAGAGGACTCTTTAAAGTAGAGACACTACATACTGATATACACCTGAACATCAGCAGGAGAGGACTCTTTAAAGTAGAGACACTACATACTGATATACACCTGAACATCAGCAGGAGAGGACTCTTTAAAGTAGAGACACTACATACTGATATACACCTGAACATCAGCAGGAGAGGACTCTTTAAAGTAGAGACACTACATACTGATATACACCTGAACATCAGCAGGAGAGGACTCTTTAAAGTAGAGACACTACATACTGATATACACCTGAACATCAGCAGGAGAGGACTCTTTAAAGTAGAGACACTACATACTGATATACACCTGGACATCAGCAGGAGAGGACTCTTTAAAGTAGAGACACTACATACTGATATACACCTGGACATCAGCAGGAGAGGACTCTTAAAGTAGAGACACTACATACTGATATACACCTGAACATCAGCAGGAGAGGACTCTTTAAAGTAGAGACACTACATACTGATATACACCTGAACATCAGCAGGAGAGGACTCTTTAAAGTAGAGACACTACATACTGATATACACCTGAACATCAGCAGGAGAGGACTCTTTAAAGTAGAGACACTACATACTGATATACACCTGAACATCAGCAGGAGAGGACTCTTTAAAGTAGAGACACTACATACTGATATACACCTGGACATCAGCAGGAGAGGACTCTTTAAAGTAGAGACACTACATACTGATATACACCTGAACATCAGCAGGAGAGGACTCTTTAAAGTAGAGACACTACATACTGATATACACCTGAACATCAGCAGGAGAGGACTCTTTAAAGTAGAGACACTACATACTGATATACACCTGAAAGTGACCATTATTATGTGTTATATTTTCAAGCTTGTTGGTGTGGACGGAGATTATTGGAGAAATAGTGCAGACGATTGCACAATTCGTTTTGAAGTCTTGTTATTGTGTAATCTGATGTTTCAACATACGCCTTGTCTCCAGGGAATGTTAAGCTAATGTGAAGGTTAAAGTTTGATAATTCCTTAGGGTATAAGCTAAGTTTCAGGCAGAATGACCCACTTCTGACACAAAACACTACAGGACAACACAGACATTATCTTTGCTTGTATTTGCGTCGTTATATATTGTTCTATTGATTCTGACAATATATTCTTAGCTCCAATAGAAACAACAGTGTGCAGGGAAAGTTGTACTGACTATGAAATAAACTGGATGCCTGTGTTGTCTTTGTAGAGGTTTCTCTCTCTCTGCTTCTAACACCTTCGTCTTAAGAGCGTGGAATGCACTGTCTGTAAAAGTGTGTGTGTGTGTGTGTGTGTGTGGGTGTGTGTGTGGGTGTGTGGGTGTGTGTGTGGGTGGGTGTGTGGGTGTGTGGGGGTAACTCTCCCACAGTGCTGAACAGAAATCAATTAGTTTGGTGAATGTGCGGGGAGCGAGTACCCCTCAACCCCTTTGTCACGATGTGTGAAACAGCTGCTACCACTGAATACTTACACCTCACACACGGCCACACAGCCACACACACACACACACCACTGGAGGCTGAGCAGCGGCGGACACAGCACACACTGCGGGGCAATGAAGAGGGGTAATATTGTGTAATTAAGGATTCCTTTCAGGCCGAGGGAGAGTTCAAATAGAGCTGTTTGTCTGGCCAGATAGAGGGAAAGTGTGTGTGTGTGTGTGTGTGTGTGTGTGTGCAGATGTATAAACGTGCATGTGTGTCGGCGTCTTAAGCTCGGACCACAGAGACATTAATCATTAGTGAAATTACCTCCTGTCCCCCCCCCCCCCCATTATCAATAAAGCAGCACCCTGAGAATGGGCAAACACTTGTTCACCCTCTCTTACGCACACACACTCTCTCCTAAACACACACACACACACACACACACACACACACACACACACACACACACACACACACACACACACACACACACACACACACACACACACACACACACACACTGTTGTCGTCCTGTCCTCCTCTCGTCCCGTTGGCAGAGTGAGAGATTCGCTTGTTTCCTGAACCTCCCAATTCTTCTTCTGCTTTTTTTTTCCGTAAACCCCTCCCATCTAACCACCGTTGCCATGGCGTTTAACAAATTATTGCAATTACCCTCGTCACGCGGGTCGCCCCTGGAAACGGGCTGAGGGGCGAGAGAAGAAAGGGGGGAGGGGAGGGGGGGGGGGGGGGGGAGAGAGAAAGGGTGAATGAAGACCAGAGAAGGTGATAATCCTGTTTTGAACAAAAGGTCAAATTGTTGAATAGAGAAGCTTTGATTAAGCGGAGGAGGTACAAAGTGGAACCATTTGAGCCCTATTCACTTCAGTGTGTGTGTGTGTGTGTGTGTGGTGTGTGTGTGTGTGGCAGGTGGATTCCTCTGCTACAGGAGTCATGTCAGAGAGGCCTCTTCACTGTGTGATCACTGACAATACATCTGAAATGATTAGCAGATTAGCAGAATATTAATCATCTATTTGCATAATTGATTTTTTTTGTCATTTTTTCTTGCAAACAATTACAAAATGTCACTAGACGTTGCTTTTCGGACATTTTTTGGACTAGTTAATGAATATAAAGACAAGGTTTTTCGCTTTTGGATGCACACACAAGCATTTTCTATATACTGTAATCAAAATAATAATTAAAAAAACTAATTTTCGAGCCCAATTAGCAAGAAGTTGGTCACATACAGCTTGCAATTTGTATGAAATCTTAATAAATGTAATGATAAATACACTTTTAAAAGAAACACTTATCTAAACAAAGTACTTTACAGAGAGGAAAATGAAAAAATCTAAATACAATTAATAAAAAAGGACATTTAGACACTTTAAAATATAAATAAATACACTTTTAGAATACACTGACTCACATGGAAACATCTAGCGAAATAAGTTGTCCTGTCACTTAATTGATTTAATTAGCAAGTACTGTTTGTTGCGTCACTGCATTGTAAGAGAACTGTGAATTACTATGTTTTATTGTTAATTAATCTGTCATTTTCAATTAATGAACTGTTAAGTCTGTATAATATCAGAAGTGGGGGAAATGCCCTTGAGTCTGTGTGACCAACACTGCAGAGTGAGTGTTTTGCTCGACAAACGACTTGATTGGATGAATGAAAACGTGCTTCATAAATAAACTAGACTCGACTTGATTAATACATAAATTATCACAGTTGTTGTCAATTAATTATGACTTATTGACTTAATGATTTACGGACTAATTGTTTCAGTGCTAAGCCGTCGTTCAAGGGTCACTAACGGCAGCACTGGAGAATAAATAAAAAGGTTATTTTTCCTGTAGCTTTAACAGAAGAGGCTTTTCAGGAGGTTTCAGTGGAGGTGAGGGTGTTCAAACAAACCCCGACACAGACCAGGAGAGGGTGGATTTCGTGGCCTCCGTTTGGTTAAATTATGTGGAACTCATTTGACGTCTGCATTCAGTGTGTCAGGTATCCACTGCACTAATTATGCAATTATGAGCTTTTATTCTCTCACGTCCGACTGTTCGCCCCCCCCACCCTCGCGCCGGAAAAATGCCTCAATTAGATTTTTTTTTTCCCCTGCTGCCTCGCTCCTCATGTGCTCCTTGTTTTCTGGGAGGCTCACACAGCACTGCTGCTGCACTTCATCTCAATTTATTTTTATTTTTCTGAGTGGATTGGTTTTGGGTCACAGTGGTGGAGCACAGGGGCATTGTGGGTGACTTCCCCCCCCCCCCCCCTTTCATCACTGTCAGTCCTGAGCACTTTTTATGTGTGTCTTATAAATGTGTGTGTGTGTGTGTGTGTGTACAAGTGCTAATGGCCGAACTGACACACATTAAATAGGCACATTTTAAAACTAAGAGATATACAAACTTATAGTCCAATAAAAACCTTCCTAACATATATTCAAATTGATTTTTTGATGTAGTTTACATCTTAGTTCCTGATTTGTGTGTGTGTGTGTGTGTGTGTGTGTGTGTGTGTGTGTGTGTGTGTGTGTGTGTGTGTGTGTGTGTGTGTGTGTGTGTGTGTGTGTGTGTGTGTGTGTGTGTGTGTGTGTGTGTGTGTGTGTGTGTGTGTGTGTGTGTGTGGTGTGTGTGTGTGTGTGTGTGTGTGGTGTGTGTGTGTGTGTGTGTGTGTGTGTGTGTGTGTGTGTGTGTATTCATTTCTCCCATGGGAACAGCAGTGTGTGCCAAGGCTTGTGTCATAAGAAATGCACACAAATAAATTATCAAACATTTTGCCGCGTGTTTAATATCACGCTCTCATATCTCCCTCCTCCATTGTCCTGCATGTGTGTGTTCATCAGACTCATTTCCCATGATGCTCAGCTCTTTGTACAGGAGCAGCAGAGGTGTTTGGATAATTAGTCTCGGAGCTGGGGTTTGTGGGTAAAGCTGTGAACTCTGGGACTTTCTAATTGATTTGGGACATATGTGTGTGTTTTCCATTGGCTGTGTGTGTGTGGCCTGCATGCATCTCTCCCTGTCTAGTCTCACATTTCCTGTTGCATAATAAGGAACACATTTACAGTTTAATGTGCAGTTTGCTCTCAGATTATGTTTGTAAAAGGTTTATCTACTGTACACAATGAGCCAGTTTAGCAGCGAGCTTTATTGGATATGTGTTTAAGGGATCGTGCAGATGTTGTGTGGTTGGGTTGTTTGAAGTACTTCTCCACAGTCAGTGTTTTACCTCAAGTAGATGTCAGCTGGCAAGCCACTAATTTGGAGAACCTGACAGGAGTAATTTAATATACGTAAACACAGTTTGTTTTAGCCGCCAAACTCCATTATCAAAAACAGAACATTTCAGATTTCTGGAGCACTCGATTTGCTGCCTTTTTCAATGTCAAATGAACTCTGCAGTGAACCTGATCGAATCTAACTCACATGCAGACTTTTTCACAGACCTTAATATGAGTCCCAACGATTACTGTTAGCATGATGTTTAGCCACATAGATGAGCCTATTTGCAACCCCTAAACACCTGACATCAAGGTAATGATTTATTAGAAGTTGATGTAAGTTCATCAATTAAATTAAATTAAATTAAATTACATTACATGTCATTTGTTAGATGCTTTTATCCAAAGCGACTGTGGACAATCCCCACAGGAGCAATTTGGGGTGAAGTGTCTCAGGGACACAACGACATGCTGACTGCAGTGGGACTCGAACTTGCTACCCCCTGATTCGAAGTCCAGCACCCCATCCACTTAGCCACAGCCCCCCCCAATTCTTCTTTAGATTCATCTATAAAGCTCCCCTTTTGATATGAGGACTGCTGAAGGTCTTAGCATCTTCCGTTGCAGACTGAAAACCCACTCAACTGCACCTCTGCTATTACACATAACACACAACAAATAGTCGTAGTTAAAAGAGGTAGCACATTGTTTAACATTTTAGCACTTAAAATGGTTTAGCGTATTTGGAGCGAATGCACTTGCAAGTTTCTCGTTGTGCTGAGTTTGTATCCTCATAGTTTATTGGATATAACCGTCAGCTAAATGAAATCTAATGTAGTGTCAGGTTTAACACTAGCACTGCCAGGGGTCGCTGTATACCTAAAACCGCCAACGGGTCAAATGTACCCGCTATTAGAATGCATTGATTTTCAAGGTACAATGTTCTTTTATTTATCATTCTAGAGAACACAGGGTTAAGAGTGAGTTTTGATCGCACAGTGATGAAACTATACCAATAGAATCTGGGACTCTCAGCTTTTCATATTTGTATACTCTGCATGAAGTATAAAAGATCGCTACCGAGGTATGTGCAAAGTGTCTCTCTATCTATCTATCTATCTATAACTATCTAGCTATAACTACGATCTGTCTCTCGCTCGCGATCTCTCGCGAGCGAGCGGCTCGCGCGCGAGCGCGCGCGAGAGAACGAGCGAGCGCGAGAACGCGAGCGCGAGCCAGCGAGCCAGCCAGCCCGAGCGCCGCGAGCGAGCGAGCGAGCGATAGCGAGCGAGCGCGCGCGCGCGCGCGCGCGCGAGCGCGAGCGCGATCGCTCGCGCGCTCGCGCTCTCGCGCGCGCGCTCGCTAGCTCTATCGCTTCTATCTCTCTCTCTATAACTATCTATCTCTATAACTATCTATCTCTAGCCATCTATCCATCCATCCCTATCTCTCTCTCTATCTATCTATAAGGAACCGCAGTAAACAACAGGCGTTGCTATAGCAACACGTCATGTTTATGTTTTCGCGAAAATCACTGCATTTTCTATAAGGTAAATATTACCCGCTGGCATTTTTTACAACAGAGGGTGCTACATAACACACTTTCAGGAAAAGTCACGGACTGGGAGACTTGAATATTTGATTGAAAAAAAAGTGACATACAATCAAGAAACAGCTTGCGGGTAGCATGTACCCGTTGGCGCTTCTAGTGTTAAAAGCATCAATAATCTTAAATTAAAACTCAGATCTGTCCCTGGAGGTTTGCTTTAACCAGCCTCAGTGTGTTGTTGTTCCTTCTTGATAGGACAGATTATCGAAGGCCTCTGCACGGTGAGATGTGGTTATTTACTGTAGAGCTCGCTGTAAAGAAAAAACAATCTTTACTATTTCTTTTTCAGCTGCTGCTCACAAACTGATCAGAGGACGAGACAAAGCTGAACATACAAATCAATAAGAGAGGGGTGGGGGGTGGGCGGTGGGCAGAGAAAGACAGGTGCTTTGGGGTTTGAGGGGGTTTATTTTGAGTGAATGAAAGGGAGGAAGGATACATAGATTTCTTTGGGGGGGGGGGGGGGAATGATGGTGGTGGGTCTTATGCTCTGTCATTAGTTGGGCATTAACCCCCCTCCTCTTTAAACCCCCTGAGTAATGACAGGGAATAAGAAGAAGGGGGGGTGCAGGAGCTCGAAGAATACCGAAGATTGAGAGGGTGAGACCACAGCACCTGCCCAGGGTCACTGCCTCACCACAGGGGGTCCTAACTACTGCCGTTTAGCTGTCCGCTGCTCTGCCTGTCTGACAAGTACTCACCGAGCCAGACCCCCCCCCCCACAAAGATACATTGTAAAGAGAGATGTGAAGTCAGATGTAAACTCTTTTTATTTGATTTGATTGGACCGCCCCTCTCCTCCAGCTGCTTGTCACACAGAGTAACAGTGTGGTGAAGTTTTCTTTTAAAACGCCTTTTTATCAACAAAATAAACGGCCACCTTTTATAAATAAGTAATCACGTAAGGCGGCTGAATGTTTTCTCTGATGAGATGTTTTCATCAGGGCCGTGGATAAGCTACAATTTGAAAGTTTGAAAGTAGTGGAGTTTGACGAGTGCTGTAAAAACCACATACAGGATATTAAGAAATGACTCAATGCAGCAGAATGTATTTTAAAACTTTATTTGTTACTCTATTGATTGATCTATTGTGGTGTTCTGGGTTTCTTAAGAGTAGTCCAACCTGAGCAGGAACGAGATTACAAACTGAAAGGAGACCGTTTGTTGGTCATGGATGTTTTTCAACTCATTAGAAATCTTGGAAATACTAAAAAAAGTGTATTATTTTTGTCTTAATATTGATTTAATCATCATGAAATGTCAGAAAACTGATGAAAATGTTCCTAAATGTCTTGATTTGTGGAAACAAAGCCCTAACATGTATTTGGTACAACGAAATAAAAGCAGAATATCATCAAATTTCAGAAGCTGTTAACGGAGAATGGATTAATCCATTATCAATATTGACACTTTGTGTGTGTGTGTGTGTGTGTTTCCCAGATGTTGTAGTAAATGTGTGTGTTGTGTGTTTCTCGTAGGGATGGCTGCTGTGTGAAGATCAGGCCTGCATGAACAGAACCAGACGTCTGCCCATCGCCTTCTCCAGACACGGACCCATCTGCCCCGCCTGCACCAGGGCCACGCTCAGACCAGAGGTAACACACACACACACACACACACACACACACACACACACACACACACACACACACACACACACACACACACACACACACACACACACACAGTCTCAGAGGCTGAGATGACGGCACAGATTCGGCACATTGTTGATTTCTGAGTGGTTTGTCCAGGTGATGGTGCTATGGAGCTGAAGTCTCTCTCACATATGTTCTGTACATTACTCATTAGTATCACATTACACACATACACGGTGATAATCGTCCTGCGAGTGCATGTGAGTGTGTGTGAAACTGTGTGTGTGTGTGACAGGTCGTCTTATGAACACTTTGTTAGCCTGAGCACTGGATTTAAAACAAACACTCTCCCTTTCAATTTGACTGTTCAATCATTTCTCTGTCCATGTCTCACCCCTTGCCTTAACTCTCTTGTCATTTTTCTTTATCTTCCTCCCCCCCCCTCTCGGCTGCTTTGCTGTGTCTGGCTCTGTGGCGACAGGTTGTAAACCAGAAGGCCAATTTCTGCTGTCACTGAAGCCACTTAGGCGGCCATTGCTGTGCCTGAGGGCCGTGGCACTTTAAACTGCGGCTGAATGAAACATTTAACTCTCTGTGCTCGCTCTGGCACCCTTCCTCCACCCTGAAAAATCACGTTATCTGCTTCTCTCTGCACTCCTTCACGTGGAGCGGCAAAGACTTATCCATCAGTTGTCAACTATCTAATTAATCACCATTAATAGATTCATAATTTTTGGGATTTTTGTAAAGAAAAACATGCATATATTCTGATTTCTTAAATGTGAATATTTTCTGGTTTCTTTACTTCTCTATGAGAGTCAACTGAATATGACTGAGTTGTGGACAATACAAGACATTTAAGGGCTTTTGGAAACACTTATCTGACATTTTATACATCAAAAGACTAATTGATTAATCAAGATAGCATATATAAAAAAGTAATGCAGCCAAACTTGATAAACATATTCCTTTGCATGCAACATCAAAAGATAGACCTTTAATGATTACCAGCATTACAAATAGAAATTACACCAGCATTTCAAACAAAAAAAGACATTGATAAGTAAAATAACAGTCTTAATTTACAATCAACTTAAATGTCAAATAAGTAAGCAATATTTAATAAAGGAAAGTCATTTGAAAAGTGGACGTAGTCAGTGTGACGTTACCAATTGTGGTTTCTTGATGCTTGATAAAAGCCCTGTCTCTAAGATAATTAGTGTATCTATCCCGAAATGTACCGGCTTCTCCCTTAGTCCAACGTACACCCTTACTTAAAGTTTAATGAAAATTGGGCGAGTAGTTTTCCTATAATCCTGCAAACAAACTGGGGTTACGTACTGTAACCCAGCTTCTATGACAGGGGTGTCAAACTCAAGGCCCGGGGGCCAAATCCGGCCCGCGACTTCATTTTCTGTGGCCCCACAAGAGCTCTGAAAGAATATAATATGTTTATTATACGGTTACATGGCGATTTACAGAAGCACGTTGCCCATAAACTACATGTCCCACAATGCATCTCAAATTTGATTTTTTATTTTTATGTCAGTTTTTTTTCTTCAAAATGTCACTTTATTTTTCAAAATGTCACTTTTTTTTTGTTGACTTTCTTTTCCAGAATTTGGCTTTTCTTTTTAAATCATTTTGTAACATTCTCACTGAAGAGACTTGCAATTACATGCCCTAGACTTCTGCTTTCAGACGTAGTTAATTATGAAGTTATTACCCTATCTGATAATAATCCAATGCAGAGGCAATAATGTAATATAATGCCTTATTTTATATATATGTATTTTGATATAGTCTTAAAGTTACAACCGGCCCTTTGAGTGCAACCATAATTCCTACGTGGCCCGTGATGAAATTGAGTTTGACCCCCCTGTTCTATGAGTATAGGCGCAGCCCTCTAAGGCGATACGATATAGAACATACGGAAACCAGTACCAGTTACATCCCTCATACATGTTGCAGATCCTTTCCTGACTTCCTTTGAGGAGAGATATTTCCCTCTGAAGGAAGCATGATTCCCATTCGACTAACAGTGACTTCTCACTATTAGGTAACACTGTTATCTGAATCAAGCCAGTGCATGGAGATTAATAGCCCAGCAGCTTACATTTTAAATTGCTGCCAATTATGCAAAGTACTCAAGAGGCCATTCATAGCGGTTTGAGCTGCTGGTAGATAGTCTGAGCTCGAACAACGAGGCGAGACGAAGCATCCGCCGTCCTCATGGAGCCCCTTTTCTGTCGATTATGAAGATAATATCACTCGGATTCTTCTTTGTGCCTCAGTAAAAACACTTGGAGCGTTTGTAAAGGAGCGTCTTGTTTGTGACTGCATTCTCCTTTTTCTCCTCTGTTGCATCATGGGACATTTAGCATTGCTGTGGATGCTCCTCTTTCCTCCCTCCATCTCTCCCTCTCGTTCCTCCCTTCCCCCCCCCCTCCTCTCTGGACACAGATTCAGAGCGTGATCTGATCTCCATGTAATGGGAGAGTAATAGGCACTCTGCCTTGATTGGTTGGTAATTTGGGGGAGTTATGCACAGGTGCAATTTGTAATATTTTCAGTAAATTAAATGTCTTTCTGTTCCATGTCTCCCTCTTTCTCCCCCTCCTCCCTCCACAGCGCTTAACTCAAATGGGCTATTTTTTTCTCACAGTGTCTCAGATCTCTGTCCTGACTTTCCTTTTCTTTCTCGCTTTTATTCACGGTTCCTTTTCTTTTCATTCTCTCTCCCTCCCCTCCCTCCTTAGCTCTTATACTCATTCTCCTGGCTTGCTCTTTCTCTCCTCCTCTCACCCTCCCTTTCTGTCACTCTCTTTTTCTCCCTTCGTTTTATTGATGTACGCTCAGGCGCCCATTAGAGCTCCCTTTTTCCCTCTAGTGGAAATTGCAGCATGTTAATTTTCACACAAATTACGGCAATAGCAGGTATCTCTATTTGATACATTATAGCGGGAGCAATCAGAGATAATTGAGTGCCTTTCAGAGGGAGACGGCTGCATTCACTGCCGGCTCAAAGCTGCCCCATTATCGCCTAATCGCTCTTTAAACACTGAATTTCGCCGAACAAAAATTCTTGTCATAATTTTGCTTAAGTGTATTTGGAAATCACAGTCCTTTGAGCGAGGATAATTGAAATCAAATCCCTTTCACTGGAGATGACATTTCTACATTTCCCTCCAATTGAAATTAATTTCAAAAATTGAGCATGAATATCTTCAAATAGCGGGCAATTATGCCTTTCAATGGGGAGAAATTACCGGTGCTGAATCGTTGGAGGCTTGCGGGCGAGAGCACCAGTTAAATGCCTTTGTTTCCCGCCGTGTTTGCCTAGTAAAGATTTACATATATTGACTCATTATGGTGTCTTGTGAAGCTGATCGGCGTGACTACCACAACCGGCAATAACGCTCATCGCATCTAAAAAAGCTCAAGAGTTTTAAAGCCTCGTGGCCTCACAGCTGAGGGAAAATGTATGTTTGTTTCTCTCCGTCTCCCTCCCTTTCTCCCTCCCTCCCTCTCTGCAGCTGTGTGTGTGTGTGTGGGTTCGGATATATCGTAGCTTTCACCGTTTGCAGATTACCCGCAGAAGAGAGTGTGACGCCGAGGCCTTGTTTGTGCCTCTGCCATATTATCTTCCAATGGTCTTTTCCATCCCCTATAACCTCAGTGTGTTTTTGTATTTCCTCACACACACACACACACACACACACACACTGAGACGTATGGTCTACATTTACTGCTTCACCAGTGTACTTAAAACGACGGTATAGTGCCAAAGTTCTGCGGAGGTCGGATGTGTGTGTCCCCTAAAAGACGGAGACAGGTGTTTTTAAGACTCCGAGGAAGTCTTGAGTGCTCGCTTTATTGTGCGAGCCATTTCAAACTGTTGCTCCGTGATTTGGATCAATTTGTGCGACTTAGCCTCCTTTTCTTATTTCGTACTTTTATTCTATACATCCCGTCTCCATTCTTCCCTCACACACACATTCCCCTCTTTCTTAACTGTGTGTATGTGTGTGTTAGAGGGGGAGTCAGTCAGGGAAGAGGGAGGCAAGGGGTACGAGGACGAGAGGGGGGGGTCCGACGCTCCCGAAGAGAGGCAATTTCACAGCTGGTTTGCTCCTTAGGCAGTCAGGCTGAAAATGCTGCAGATTTGTGGAGCAAATTGAAATGGTGTCAGTGCAGGAACAAAGCAGCGAGCTGAATGACGAGGTAGTTGTGTGTGTGTGTTGTGTGTGTGTGTGTGTGAGGTGGGGTGGAGGGGCTCTAAATTCAATAACAACCCTGTAACATTTTAGCCACGCCTTTCTGACACCTGTCAATCAATCAGTGTGCAGCGACAGGCCCGCCCACAATCAGCATTACATTGTTTGTGTGTGTGTGTCTGTGTGTGTGTGTGTGTGTGTTTTGTGTGCAGAGGAAGAAGTGGTGTGCAGCGTTTGTGCCGATCGAGCTTGTTCAACCTTGGCAACCGTAACCGAGGCTCCATTATGGGATGTGCATGCTTTGGTTGTTGACTAGGCCGTGCATCAACGGTCAACAGCTGTGTGTGCCAATTGGGCAGCCCTAGAGAGCCATTAAACACATTTACACACACACACACACACACACACACACACACACACACACACACACACACATCACATAGTTTGCATTTAGTTGCATTACATACTCTTGCCACTTGATTACGCCACAGCAGTAAAAACTGAAATTACAATTACGCACATTGCCGATTGGCAGGTATAATGGGTGCACACAAACTCACTTCCCTCACACACACACACACACACACACACTCACACAGGAATTGTCAGGGGATTCTTCCTGGCGGTAATAATAAAGCACTCGGCGCACACCTGATGGCAGTGTGGGGTCGGGGCTTAGCGTGCCCTCTCCAGCGTTGCGGGGAAATGACGAGCCAATAACTGCAATTAAACATGCAGTATAATGGCTAATCAAATTGACAGCCTCGGCTGTTCGCATGCCTCTCTCACAATGGCTTATCACAACAAACTATTATGAGGGAGGGTATTTCAGGCCTGATCCCCTCTTTTCTTTCTCTCTCTCTGTCTCTCCATCTTCTTTCTGTATCTTTACCCTTTCCTCCTCTCTTTCCCTCCCCCTCCTCTCTCTCTCCCCCGCGCTGGCAGGCTGTCGTGTGGCTCCGGTTAATTGCAGTGGAGATTAACAAAGCAAGCAAATTTGTTTTCTTGCTTTGCCGTGTCACACAGAGGAAGGGAGATGTGTTCAGGCAGGAATAGTGGAGAGCACATTTCTGCAGTCACGGTCTCTCTCTACCTGTTTGTCAAAGTGGAAAACTGAGTTCATTAATCTGCTGCCCTGTCGTGGGCTCCGCTCTCTAAAATAACAGGGATTAATAACCTGCTTATGTACATGCAAGAAGTTAAAGGTGTGTGTGTGTATGTGTGTGTGTGTGTGTGTGTGTGGGGGGGTGTGTGTGTGTGTGTGGGGGTGTGGGTGTGTGTGTGACCAGGTCAAAGAGAGAAGTGTTGCGTTGACTGTAGCAATTCAAGATTATGGCCACTATTTAATACTCTAATAATATTTTGCATTATTTAACGACCTCCTTTTGTTGGTCTTATAATCAGGCATTTAAATGGAATCTGACCTCTTGGGATATTTGAAGTTGTTAACAAGTGAAAACAAACAGTTTTAGCTAGCTAATCTTCTTTAAGCACTGTAATACTCAAGGCACTCGGACTCCGTTATGATACTCATTAAGCTACGTGTTGATTAAATATGGAGCTGACTCAGACATGAAGTCTCACTCTGTTGGTGTAAAAAAACAGTCATATGGTGAGTTGTACGGTGAATTCACACTCGATACACAACACCAGACAGCAGCCAAGTTTAATTTTGGCCTGCCTTCATGTAACTCGTGGAATTAAGTAGCAAGAGCCGATTTGACCTGCTCCCAACGATTGTCATTTGAACTGCTGTGGAAACTGCAGTTAAGAGGAGAAGCCAGCCAAATGAACACTGTAACTGATGTGTCTAAAATGTCTCTCTCTTAACTTCATGACTATGGGGTACAAACTCATACAAGCCCCCTTAACTATTCCTTCAATTGGATTGTTTGTCGGCCATGCAATGACATATTCACATCAAATGCAGTCTCTCTGTTATGATTACATATTCAATTCAGTGTAATATAATATTTATCAGATTGTGTTGTGTGTGTTTTCTCCACAGTACTCGGAGAAGGCGCTGTACAACCAGCTGTGCTTCTACAGGTTCATCTTCGACTGGGATCATGCAGTGGCTAAAGTGCTGCAGTGTGACGAGAGAAGTAAGACACACACACACACACTCATGTTGCTAGCTACTGTACTAACCTCACCTTCAGTACCATTTCTCTGTTTGGTTAAAGTTTTGTGCGGTTGTTAAAACAAGCCATATTTTATTCATTTTTTTATTCGGTTGCTCCGCCTCTCGAACAGAAATCAAGTTACTACAGCAGCTATTGAAGTTTGAATTTTGATGCCTTAACAATGCTTCCTCACAAACACACACACACAACATACCATTAGCAATCAATGGCTCAACGTAAACCTTTTACCCAGGCTACACTTAAAGTATTCACCAATGATGTGACACACACACACACACACACACTGAGACACACAGAAGTAGCGGCGCATTGGATACGGGGAGAGCGGGTTAAGGACATTCAGCTCCTCGAGTCGACAGCCCTAATTTAAGAGACGGATTCAATCACACACACATACCGAATGCAAAACGCTCCAATCACTGGGTGAAAGAAGGAGAGAGCCCTCCATCGCTCTCCCTCTCTCCTCACCCTCTCTGTCCATCTCCAGCGCGTTCTCCCCTTCTCTGCCTCTCTTGGACAGGCACTCGTTTGGCTGTGTTGATTGAAAACAGGTTTTAGATTTGGGGAAATGATAGGGGGAGTAATGGGCGCGCTGACGAAAGGATAGCCCTTCTCCCATAATGGGACATGGAGCGTATATTTCCCCCCTTGGACTCAAATAGACGCTCCTCCAGCGCTCAGAAGGCGTCTGCCGCGAAGCCTCTTTACCCGTTTCTCCCCCTGATTGATGTCACTTGATTAGAAAGGGCCGCCGGGCCGAGTGATTTATTTATTTGATTAAATATTTATGTATGTATGTTATTTATGTATGTATGCCTGGATTTGTCCGAGTGTGTGTGGCAGCGAAAGGGTGAGACAGCAGAGGTAAATATAACGTGTAATCAACAGATGACCACTCAGAAGATGGAGGGATTGGAGGAGAAGGGGGGGGGGGGTTACTAACATGATTATAGACTCCATTTTTGCTTTTCTTTTATTTCTGTCTTTGCCCAGATGCAAGAAATCATAGCCAATCAATTCTTAAACCTCCTCCTTTCTTTACGTTCTTGTTGTTGGCTGTGTTTTTGTTCTGCGCCCGGAGTTTCCCTCTCGTTCTGTGCCTCGCTATCGGAGCTGAAATGGTTAATGGAAAAGGCGACGGAAAGATAATTGCTGACTTCTTTTTGGATTATTGATGATTTGTTTCTGGGATTTTTTTCAAGCAGGAGTCCTTAGAGTCCAGTCTTTAAATTGAGTAGTCAGATATCATTTCAAACTAAATGTGTTGAGGGTATTTGGACTTAAATCAACAAAACAAGACATTTTAAGATTTTGCTTTTCTAGCTGTTTGACAGACAGAAAGGTTATCAATGAATTGTCTGCAGATGAATCAATAAAGACTAAGTTGCAGCCTTACTTGCAACACAGTACACTATTAACCCAGTAATAGAGTTGGACATGTGTATACTACAGTACACCAAACGTCTCATGGTTAGAGAGCCGTTTAGCATCTTGTTAATAATTCAGGAATCAGACATTTCACTCACTGCGGCAAGATCATTTTGATATTCCTAACTTCTTGTGTCTGAAACATTTGTGACACGTTACAGGTTAAACAGTCCTTTTAGCTTACTAGATTATTAAGTTTAGTCATTTGTTTGCCTTCATGACAACAAAAGGAACACCTCTTGCTTGGCGTGGCATACCTAAAGTTGCATAATTATACAATGAAGCAGGATGAGGTAACATTGATGACAATTGTCTATCAGTTCTTCTCGCAGAATATGTGTTTTTCAGCAGGTATGAGTCCCTGTTGTTTTACAATGCGTGACTTTATCGGTTAATCGTGTCCAAAAACACCAAATGACTAATATCCAACACACGCTTGTGCCTCAAATAGAGCAGGATGCATGTATACACCCACTCACGCTGCTATAAAATATAGATTTAAGGTGTTATCTCTCAGTCCTGGGGAAGTAATACCCCACATTACTGCATTACTCACCCAGGGGCCACAGATTACAGGGAGGAGACGTACAATCCTACACACCCTACTCTGCGCTGTGGGAGTGTTGCGGTTACACCTATAGGCAAGAGCTTCTGGGGAATGTAAATAGTTTGATCTGGTATTAGAAGAGATAAGACAATATGCTTTTTAAAGTATTATATATGTAGTATAAGTATTTGTCTCCATACATAGTTATTTCAGTTGATTGTGGGGGCTTTTTGATACAAGTCAACTTTTCTTAATGGAATAAATTCTATTGTTTAAGCTGAACTATATTTCTCAGTATTACCCAATCACAGGCCTGCTAACAAGTCATCTCTGATAGCAGGGAGGTCCAGAAAACCAATGCATCGGCACCCAGTCGATTGTTGAATATGGACAATGTGACGGTACTCGTTTCGCTATATTACTGCCAGTACCATTTACTGTCCATCACAACCTGTGAGCTGTGTAGAATTCAGGAGAGCTAGTTTACGTTAGCTGTTAAAAGCTAACTGTATTCAGTAAAAAACACTACTTGACCGGGGTATTCTAACAATATCATAACATGATCAAATGGTTGGGGAGTTAAGTTGGAATAATTGGATATTTACAGGTTTCCTTATCACTTAATTTCTGTTATTGTGAAATCTGTGTCTGATATTAGTGACATATTCCTCCATCACAATGAACACTTGCTTTAATCCTACATGCATCCTGGAATATGACTAGTATTCAGCTCTGCATTGTTGTTGTTTACCTGAATAAGATAAACATTAACGAAAGAGATAATGTACTGCAGTGCCTGAGCAGCCGTACTGCACATACATGCTCACAAGTGTACTGAAATACACAATAAAGCCCATTAAAGTAGAATAGAGTAACTTATAGTGTGTGTGTGTGTGGGGGTGTGTGTGTGTGGGGGTGTGGGTGGGTGGGTGTTGCAGTGCTCCAGTGTGTGTGTGTTGCATTGCTCCAGTGTGTGTGTGTTGCAGTGCTCCAGTGTGTGTGTGTGTGTGTGTTGCAGTGCTCCAGTGTGTGTGTGTGTGTTGCAGTGCTCCAGTGTGCGTGCACATTTGTAAGCCTGTCTTATCTACATGTATATTGCATTTTTGTGCCTGATTGCTGCAACTGAGTAAAACATGGAGGTAATTTTATCCTCTGCAGGAGATCTCTAATAGATTATACACACACACACACACACACACACACACACAGACACACACCATGAAAAAAACATGCTGTCCATTCCTTAGCTGGGAACATCCCGTATCAATGACTTTCAAATCATTTCATGTCACTTTTCTTCTCTCTGGCTTCTTTTTTATCTCCCCCCTCCCTCCCTCGCTCTCTGTCTATCTGTTGCCTTTCTCTCCCCCTCCTCCTCCTCCTCCTCCTCCTCCTCTTCCTCCCCCCTCCAGGTCTCAATCTTGAGTGTGGGCAGTATGATTGCGTGTGTGAGCAATAATGTAATTTTGCCGCATTGATAAAATATAAATTGTCCTTGAGCTGCGCTTTTCTAATGATCCATTTACCGACAGCTTCCCTGCCACCTCTCAGCACTCTGCATTTGCTCCTCTTCTCCCCTCCCACTCCTCTTCCTCCCTCTCTCTCTCTCTCTTCCTCCCTCTCTCTCTCTCTCTCTCTCTCTCTCTCTCCGTCTTCATCTTCCACCCTCCCTTTCTCCGGCGGTACAAAGCGGGGTGGCAAAATCCACGGGTGCGATTGTCAAATCAATTATTCATTCTGTGCAATTACACTCACACAAAGAAGTTTCCCCGTGCTCCGAGTGGTGATTAAATTAACTGCTATTCCAGCTGCCCGTCGCCACCAGCCTAATAGAATATTCATGGAGGCGGCCGACGCAATGGCCGATCTCCATTAACTTCATCATGCTCACTTAATTACAGGCTTGTTATTGTATTTACACCTAGTTAGAGCGTGCAGAGCCCCGATCTACTCGTGCCCAGTGTGCGCGAGTGTGTGACAACACCTAGTTAGAGCCCAGATAACCCCTGATACACTCCGAGTGTGTGTGAGGAAGAGAGGACGTCTAATGCAATCAATTAGGCAAAGTTTTTAAGGATGTGACGCTGGATTTGTGTGATTTTTTTCTCAGTCTCCATCTTTTTTATTCCAGTCATCGGTCTTGTTATTATTTCCCTCTCGTCGCCCTTTTTCGTTTCACGGCCTTCCAGGCACTCTCCTTCCCGCCTCTTTAAGGGAGGCTATTTATTTGAACTGCACTCCCCACTGCGCTCCGACTTGCCGCCAGGTCTCTCCCTCTTTCTTTCCCCCCTCGGTGACTCTTAAATCATTCTTTTATCTGTTCGCCACACAGTGATTGAGGTGGAGAAAGAGAAAGGAGTGAGGAAGGGGGAACGAGGAATTATTTTTCTCCTACCTTTCAGAAATGATGACATGATTGCTTTCGCTTGATCATGCATCATCACCCTCCTCTATTCCCCCCAGATAAATAGACTAGTTTGTCTCCCCCTCTCTCCCCTCTTTTCTCCCTCGCTAACACGAGGATTATCTGGTAATAGTTGCGGCGGGCGTTAAAGTCAACCACACCGTTACTGTTTGTCTCATACGTGTTTTTTTAGTCGCCATGACTCTGAGTTATTGGGCTTTTTAAGTGTTTAACTACCATCAATCGTGTGTGTGTGTGTGTGTGTGTGTGTGTGTGTGTGTGTGTGTGTGTGTGTGTGTGTGTGTGTGTGTGTGTGTGTGTGTGTGTGTGTGTGTGTGTGTGTGTGTGTGTGTGTGTGTGTGTGTGTGTGTGTGTGTGTGTGTGTGTGTGTGTGTGTGTGTGTGTGTGTGTGTGTGTGTGTGTGTGTGTGTGTGTGGTGTGTGTGTGTGTGTGTGTGTGTGTGTGTGTGTGTGTGTGTGTGTGTGTGTGTGTGTGTGTGTGTGTGTGTGTGTGTGTGTGTGTGTGTGTGTGTGTGTGTCTAACCTTTGTTCCCTGGCCAGTCGGTGGTGTGGTATTTATCCAGCAGCCACTAATGCAGCAGGCAGGAAGACGAGACAGGAGATGGCTCGGACATGTCCACCGCCATATGGAGTGTGTGGTGTATGAGAGTGTGTGTGTGATTAAATACAGTATGTGATCTAGATAAATAAGAGCCGCCGTTTTTAATGTGTTTGCTTGTAGTAAAACAGTGGTAAAGTACAGCTGAAAGGATTTGTTGATTCACCGGTTAATTATCTAATCATTGATCAAAAATAAGTTCCACCTTTTAAAATGTGAGGTAACTCAAACAACAAACAATGGATTTGAAGATGTCCAGAAGGGATGTCGCTCTAACTGGATTCAATGTCGGAAAATAGTAAAGATTCAAGGTGTCGACCAGAGTCCAAAGGTCTTGCTTTTATTCACATTTGAAAGCATTAACCCTTTATTGGTTGTTATTTTGAGAACATGGATTATCAGCATATGTGCCGGTTCGTGTTCAGTCGAATAGTTTCAGCTTTTGTTGCAGTCCTAGTTTCATAATATGGTAATCATTGGAAAGACTTATCCTTTAGCAGACTTGCAGGTCTTTTTGGTTTCATTCAAACTAAGTTTCATTTGTAATATAATACGCTTTTTTCATGCTAAATGACTTGTTTTCCAGAATGTATTGATCACATCAATAACCATTAATCACTGGTTAATATAAGATTGAAAGTGGTGCCTCTTCACGATTCTTTGTGGATTCAGATTCACAGATCTTTCGATTAACACTACTTTTGTTGTCATGATTTCACGACAGTTAGTCGAATATGAATTTCTTTATTGAAGGACTTCTCTACACTTCAGAAAATGTTACCATGAGTGAGCCAAGATGTTCTGGGCGATGTTTAAATATATGTGATCCCGCTGCTTCTGCGGTAGAAGAACCCTAATAATAACCAAATAGATGAATAATGTAAAATCAGATCAGTGGCAGACGAAACCAAACTTCCTCCCGTTTCCATCGTCCTGCTTCTTCTTCTTCACCTCCTCCATCTCTTTGCTCTCTTCCCTCTGTCGGTGTGTTATCTCTTGGTTTGGCGGCGCTTCGTCTTCAGAATAATGTTGTAAAGATTTGGTTTTGGTGGCTCAGGACGGCAGTCTTCTCTCTGGCCTTATTACGGCCCCCCGAGGGGATAACAGGGACCAGATATCGACTTCATGCTCTCATCGGGCTTTACTATCGATGTGTGTGTGTGTGTGTCTCTGTCTCTCTCTCTCTCTCTCTCTCTCTCTCTCTCTCTCTCTCTCTCTCTCTCTCTCACTCTCTCACACACACACACAATGTTGATGCAGTTGAGAAAGTGAATGATCTTCCATTGAGCTCTGGTGAATACTTTACTTTAGTAAGAGTAGAAATACTATTTGAAAATGTTTCTTGATGTAAAATTTAAATACTTAAAGGTGGGGTAGGTAATTTTGGAGAAACCAGCTCGAGTGCGCTAGAATTTGAAAATACACAACCAGAGAAAATGTGCCACTTCCTTATAGAGCCCCTCCTCCAACACACACGAACGCGCACATGACCAATGAGGGCACAAGATAAGTTTGTGCACAGATGGAAGGCTGACAGGCAGGTAGGCCATCCAGTTATTTTAGCCGGGCCGGCTTGGTCGTTTTTACAGTATTACAGCTTCCACAGATGACATTTTTTAATGGATTTTTTGTCAAAGCACTTCAGATATTCATTGCTATCTGGATGTTAAGAGCATTCCATGGAATATAACAAAAAGTGTATCTCGAGCCGGTTTCTCAAACTTACCTACCCCACCTTTAAGTGTAGTACAAGTGTGTCAAACTGCAACTTAAGATTAGAGACTACATTTAAAGTCTTTATTACCCACCTCTTCTCCTTAGCGTATTGACATCTTTTAGATTGTTGCTTTTAAATGTCTATTGTTTTTACTTGTACTTGTTTAATGGTGTGTGAGCTGTTGTTGTTTATCTGACTGTACAGCACTTTGGCCCGGAGGTTTTAAAGGGCTTTATAAATACAGCTGTATATCCCCCTCTGATGATACCTCCTTTGTTTCTCTTCTGTCCCCTTTAGCTCGTGTAAAGCAGTGGAGCAGAGAGAAGGAGGTGTACCGGAGGCTGAAGGAAGTGCCGGACAACGCCTTGGCCACCAGCGGATACTCGGAGATCAACCTGGCCAAACTCTTCCAGGCCTTCTCCTCCCTCAAGTAACACACACACACACCTGCAGAGACGACACCTGCCGAGGAGCGCCGACGTCACACTCACAGCGGGACATTCACACACTCAACTCATACATTTGGTGAAGAAAGGTCTATTCCAGATCCTCAAAGTCCAAGATCGTGTCTTTAAAAGTATGTATATTCATTTAAGGAAAGGAAAGCAGGAAATAGATAACATCTGAGAGGCTGAAAATGAACTTTTATGCCCTTTTTGCATGAAAAACGACTTAGGATTGTTCGGTTATCCAAATATTTTGGTGTTGCTGATCCTCATCGATTTGTCTACTGAAGTTGCAGATCACAATATTTTGCTTATCGATTCATCTGTAGATTATCTTCTAGATATTAACTGTCAGAAACATGTACAAATATTCATCTGAGTTTCAAGATGATGTCCTTTTAAAGTCCTAATGTTCACTTTAAGGATATGAATCCAGTAATTCTCGATATCTACTCGTCGATTGGTCTTCTGCTCAACTGTTTTATTCCTGTTTTTGGTTTCCGAATATATTGGTGATTTTAGGCTTTGACCTCTTGACCCTCATATCATCTTCTCTGAACTAAATGGGCTTATTATTAGACTTAAAAACCCAATCACACCTCCTCCACACGGACACTCGTGACTTTACCCCATCTCCCTGACGCTGTATGATAAAGGGGAGTAGCAATCATACCTAAATGACATCTATTGTGTGTGTGTGTGTGTGCGCCTGTGTGTGCCTGTGTGTGTGTGTGTGTGTAAAATGACTTCTTCTCAGAGCAGCCAGTATCCTCCAGAAGACGCTAATTAGCCAATGATAGTGACCCCGGCCTGTAAAAACCGCTGGAGGCCTGCAGCGATCGGACACTTGTTCTGATTACCACCATTCATCCCGTGTGTGTGAGAGTGTGTGTGTCAGTGTGTGCGAGTGTGTGTGTGAGATCAGAGGATGCAGGGGTGATGGAGGCCACACACACTCCCTGGCTCTTTTGTCTCCGTATCGAACAGCTGATCTTCTCCTCCTCCGCTGCCTGAAGCCATTTCATCCCTCTCACTTCTCCTCTTTTGTGCAAATTGTGTTTTAATGCCTGTAATTTTCGATGTATCCCACTTGCATTGCTCAGGTGGATGTATGTAATGATTTTTTTGTGATGTCCACGATTTTTGATATTGAAACGTTAATAAAAAAAGCTGAATGGATCAGATGTTAGTGTTGTGTTATTGTGTGACGTATACGGTCCGATAGATATCCGTTAGTGTCTTCATGTTGCCGGTTTCCACTTAAGTCTCCTGTTTTTTACCTCAATCGAAGGTTCCATTTTGCCCCCATATTTAAAGGATAAAGTCTCCAGATATTTTGTTTTTTACAAACTTCAAGAAAAGACCAAAACCAGCCATACAGTACATATTTATTCTTCTTATTGTCCAAAATCCATACAAAATAAACACCATAAATGTGCTCTGGGTGACATGTTTCTTTATTAAAAACCTGAGTTTGTCCCACCGTAACTCACATCATCGAGTATTACTCCGCAGCTGTAAATAGTCCCCACCGAATGCACGGTTTAATACGGTTTGAGCACCATTTGCTAAAAAACTACAGCTGATATAGGAAGATTACTTGGCCATAACAATTTAAAATTAGTATTTTCTATTTCAGGAAAAAGCGAATGCATGGGCTTTGCGGCCGGACAGTCAGAGAAGTCGTAAGTAAATATTAAGAAATGCAATATTTATTGGTGATAAATACAAATATTTGATATGGGAACAGGATTTTTGTGACTTTTACTCGACTTCAGGAGAAAAAACTGGTCATTTCTAATAGGATTTTTATTATTTCTTGACTGGAGTGAAGAATTATTAGATAATTAATCAAATAACAGTAGGAATATTTGCTTTTGGCTAAAACAGTGATCATGTCAAATCAAAGTGTTTGTTGCCAAGATTAGTAACAGGACTCAATGGCTTCATAAACCCATCTGCATATACTTTGATACATTGAACCACGCTCTCTAAATGCCGTATGCATTCCCCGCCGTAGTTAACGCTCAGTTACTCGCTTCATCAAGTGTTTCACCATTCCCATCAGAGAACTCTCTTTGTGTTAATACAGTGGAGGGATTTTTTACTCCATCCTGCAGCGTGCATTTCCATAAACACTGCACGCCTCACAAATCACTTGAAACCACTGTGACTTGTGAAGGCAACCTTAAGTGGGCTGAACACTTAAACCATGATTCACTATGCAATGGATAGAACATGCTGTGTGTGAGAGAAAGTGCATTTACAGCCTCATAACTTTACATATTTATTCAATCATATCAGCAACGCTCCTTCTCCTACACTTTGCCACATTTGGGATGTAATCACCTGCAGCTGATGTGCAGACCTGCAGCTATGAGTGCATGCTCTCACCTGAGCATATTTTTAAAAGTACTTTACCTGAGTTTTTCTGTTTTCTGAAGCTTTAAACATCCACTACAATTCAGAGGCTAGTGTTGTTCTTTTAACACTACATGTTTTTGATTGCTTTAATTACCTTGTGTTCAGATTATTAATACAAAATACAATCAACAATTTCATTGGTATAGGTTAAATAAAACTTTATTGACGTCTTGGTGGAATTTACAAGCTATGTGGCAGTAATTATATCTGTCAGGGTTCTTACGGTCATTAAAAACCTGGAAAAGTCATGGAAATTCAAAATGCTAATTCCAGGCCCTGGAAAAGTTATGGAAAACAATATTTTTCCCAAAGTTTTGGAAAAGTCATGGAAATTTAACTAAAGTTGCATCAAATATAATTTATATTTTATCTAATCGCCGAAATAGTAATACTATAATGATAATAAATACTGTATCGTATAGTAATGAAACGTAAAATGGCGTTTAACTGACGAGGTGTTTTGTTGGTGAGAGATTTTAGTTGCTTTAGAAGCTAGCTGGATTTGTTTTAGATAGGCACAACATGTTTCATATGCAGACCTTATTTTCCTGTTCCATGTTAAAATAAACCATTTTCAGTGGTACCGCTGAGAAAGAGTTATTTTTTTGGTCATGGAAAATTAGGTAAAAGTCATTGAGAAGTCATTGAGAAGTCATTGGTGAAAAAGTGTATGAACCCTGATCTTTAAAAAGCTGTAACTTTAGCTTCTACAACTTTATTAATATATAAATGCATCAGTAATTCATAAATATTGTACTATGGGATTTACGCAAAAAAAGGACTTTTTTGATACTAATACTGTTGTACTTTTTAGTAAAAGTTGTATTTTTGCACTAACTTGAGGTACTTTACTTAAGTATTTCTTTAAAGTTATGTCTATATTGGAGGCTAAACATATTTGTTTTACTCCATTTATTTACTTTGTATACTTTGAAGACTCAGATTAGTTACACAAAATACAACCCATTAAGCAAAAACTGTATTGATCCCTTTGCAAGAGGTACAGGCTAAAATAAAGTTCCCAAAAGCTCATCTTATAGCAGCTGCAACATTAAGGATGCACACTTGTATCATGGATTAAAATCAAATCAAAGTGCAGAATCAGGACTCTAATTTTTGTAACTTGAGGTGCATTTTGATGGCTATACTTTGGTGCTTTTACTCAAGTTAAATGCATTTCTGCCCTGTTGTTTTGCTCCTTCTCCCTGAAGTTACAGCCCTCCTCCATCCCTCATCAGGCTGCAGCTTTTTAAGTGAGGCCCCGTTTTGTCCTCCCAGTTTTGTCCTCCCAGTTTGGAGCAAACCCATCAAATTGAATCCCTGCATTAATTCGACCCAGCTAAGCTAATAAGGTCGAACAAGTCTCTTTGTATTGTGGCGTTAAGCTTTATTGCTTGTCGTTTTGACCAGCGATGGACAAGCCCTGCTTTGATGAGGGAATTAGTCCTCCATTCTGCTGCAGTTATTCATAGCTGGGGGAACATACAGGAGCCGAGAGGTGTCAAAAGGAGAGCCGGTCCTATTGCAAAGTGTCTCCCTTGTTGGAGCTGAAAGGCCGGTTATGAGACGATAAACCGCTTAATACACTGAGCTAATTGGATGAGAGCAAGAGAGACGGGGAATTAAGGGGCGATCCGAGAGGGGAGCGCAGTGCCATGGCCCGGCTATTCAGCTCTTTCTGAGGGGGGAGAGGTGAGGAGGAGGAGGAGGAGGGGAGGGGGGAGGCTGTTCATCAAAGCGCCTTTTAGAGCTCCTCTCCCGGGGACTGAGTGAGGACTGATCCGGCCGAGGCGGTGGAGTGATTGGGCCTATTCTCTCAGGAAGGGTCGTGGTGGGAGAAACGAGGCCCGGGAGAATCCAAATCACGGGCCAAATCAAGTCCGGGGGGAGGGGGGGGGGAGGGGAGGTGGAGGCGGTGATGGAAATGGGAAGTCAGACATTTGCTGGACACCTGGATTAACCTGCGCGAGGCGCGTTACGGCCCTGCTCAATCCACCCAAATCATTTTCTTCTTTGCGCAATTTGCAAGAAAACGCCGCATGATTGGACTGTATTCATCCATCAACATTCATTATCAGGATCATTCATGCAACAAGAAAGCCTCACGGTCTAATCCCAAGTGCAGGCCTGTCTGTCTTGAATGAAAGAGCACACATCCAACAAGTGTGACTTTATAAATCCGCAGCCATTGCCCCGCGACAGCATTTCAATTTTCTCGCCTTTTTGCGCTGCAAAGAAAGTTTAAGCCTCGCGCCCAGCAGGTCACCCGCCTCCCAGCATTCCCCAGATATTAGGGACAAATTGGTTTGCCATTCATTAGTTATATTCACAATAAGATTACAACTCCCCCGGACAATCTCATCTAAAGCCTAAAGGGGAGAAACACACACGCCTCAGTGCGCTTCAGCAAAGGAATAAAAACACATGGAGCTCACAGGAGAAAATTGTTTTTTATATTATTTTTTTCGCTTCCTGCTTTTTTTGCATTCTGCTTCATTTAGCAGGTGTGACTTTGTGTGATGCATGTGCAGAAATGTCCCTTATGGGATGTAATGCCCGCTTGTTGGCGCTAAATTGAGTGATTAACAGGTGTCTGACCTGCAGACCTGTAAAACAAGAGCTGCGGATGAATAAAGAAGAGGCTTCACAAATGCACACAATAAAAAGAAGGGACTACATTAATCCGCGGGGTAATTTCACGCGATTCGCTCTGGCACCAAAGATGGGTCAAACGGAGGAGAATACGCATTGATTGCTGTAATAGTCCTGCATTAGATCCAATGGAGGAGGGGAGGGGGGGGATTTAGGGGTATTAACTCGATGAGGTGTGTGTGTGTGAAAGCCGTTTGATGAAGTGGTTTGTTACTTCATTAATGACAAAGGGGACTCGCTTCCATCGACATGGTTTTACAGATGTTAAGACCAATTTAGCGCCTTTAAAGGGGGTTTAAAGGAAGTTTTGTGACGCCCCCCTCGCTCTCTCCTCACCCCCCAGATAAAGTGGGCGATCTAATTGAAAAGCCCTTCGCCTTTGTCGCGCGTTTCTCATGTTGGGGATTAGGCTCATGAATATATGGTCAGTATTTTGTCAACTCCGTGAAGAGGATAGACGCACGCAGCGCGGAGGGATTACTTTCTGTCATTCAGGTGGAGCTGCAACTCCATCCCTGCAGAAACACATTCCTCTTTTTCCTTCCCAGCATGCACTTTCCAACATCACACAACCTGCTACTAAAGTCGGATGTATTTATTTTTACATTACAGGCAGTAAAATGTGTATCAAAAAGTCAGTTAATTTAAGTAAACTAGTCCTTGATTTAAGACAGAAAGCACATTTTCTTCATAACAGCTTTTATTAATATTTCTATAATAGTCTATTTCACATTTTTAATTTTTTCCCGGTTTAGGCCTATGTCAGTCCTAAAGGATTTTGAAATAATAAAACTCATTTTATCAATGTAATTTATTCAAATTAGCATTATTAAACCAGGAAACATACAATCACTTGATAAGAAAAAAAAAACGGTCCTTCTCTCAGTTCCTCTGAAAAGTTCTGACATAAATAATGATCTAAAAATCCTAATAATTCATAAACACAGGTGAAATTCTACACAAGGCGACATTCATTAAACACTACACCGAGTGCAAATTATCAAAACACGGCCTCCTGAAATATACACGACCTTGTTTTGAAAATCATCCTTTTTTCTGGTACTTTTTTTTCCATTTTTACACAATATGTACAGTTTTCTTCCACACAGTCAGGTATTTATGACATCTCCTCTCTGTCCTGCAGTCAGACCCAGGCACTAAGCCAGTCCTTAAATCAAAAGTGGGAGGATAAAACCTTAAATTGCAGAAAATGTACAGAACCTCAGATAACTCCGGTTTGATTCGGAGGTTTAAAGCTGTGTTTCTGAGTGTGACTGCAGGACAGTGGAGTCAGGCGTGCAGAAAAGGCTATGGAAGGTCTATGGACAGTTTTCCTTTGGTTCTGGGGGGGGGGGGGGGGGGGGGGATCCTCCAAACTCGCCTTTTATCACAGACGCAGACTGGCTCAGCCCACATCGATGCATACAGATGAAGCAGTGTTAATGTCGAGCACTCCAGACGTCCACATTGAACAGGAATCCTTTCTAAAAGTCTGGGTTCCCCGTGGTTCTTCAGCTTTCTCTGTGTGTGTGTGAGTGTGTGTGAGAGAGTGTGTGTGTGTGTGTGTGTGTGTGTGAGACAGATCCTATACTTTAAATCAGACAAACAACCATACTCTGTTGAAGCCCTGCTACTTGGGTAAAAAGATGGCAAAGTAAGGAGCAACAATAATACGTTTATTTAGATAGCACCTTTACTTAAAAATGTACTTAAAGTATCAAAGAAATACTTCATTCAGAAAGAATTGCCCCCGTCAGTGATACTGCTTTTTACTTAGTATTAATGAATGCATGTTACATTTTAACAGTTCATGTTTCAATATGTCCATCTTAAATGAAGCATCAAAATGTAAATACTAATTAAAAGTGCCTAAAATGTCTACTGAAGTAAAGTAGTAATTGTACTTCAATTGGCACTGTTTGTAAAGAGAACTTCGTTTTGTGTGCACGTAGCTGTTTCTAAATCTATATGATATTTACGAGTAGCCTCTTCTTTTGTCATCTGTGCTAAAAAATATTGTAATTATTCTGGAGTGGAGTGAAGCTTCAGAGCTGTATTTACCACACACACACACACACACACACACACACACACACACACACACACACACACACACACACACACATACATACATACACACACACACACACACACTTTTCTAGCCAGTGCTCTTTTGAATTTGGTCGTGCTATTTTGTTGGGGAAACATGAGGTATCAGGGATGAAAAGGGGAACGTCAGCCTCAGTATGAGTGGGGAGGAGGGGGGGGGGGGCAGGAGGCTGTTTTTTTTTTGGGGGGGGGGGGGGGGGTCGATGGTGTTCAGCACACCTCCTTCCCGGCCCCCCCGCTGGGCAGGATGATGTTGAGCTGGGTGAGCTGCGCCGAGTGTTCCTTGGCTTTGAGACGCAGCGCGGCGATGCTGGAGGCCCGGCGGTCTGCAGCGGAGTGGGGGGGGGCCGGAGGAGGAGGGGTCGCTCAGCAAGGGGTGGGGGGGGGGCCTCTACAGGGGGGGGGGGCGGACTGCCGGAGGAGCGCTGCAGCCGTGGAAGCACTGGACAGGGGACCCATACCGGAGAAGAGCCTGCAGGGACACAGAAATGTGACAATCTAAGACACGTGAAGACAAGTTCAAAGGTCAGGAAACAGCTCACAAGTCAACTTTATTGTCAATATTTCAGTTTGTGTGTACAGACAGAGACATCGAAATACCGTTTCCCACAATCCCGAATACAAAAATACGTATAAAATATGTATATCCTATATATACACAATCAACAGACACATGCACACACTTAAGATAAAAACACAACAATCAATATATACAAAATAACAGTCACTTAAATATCTTGTAGAATAGAAATGTACATTAGTGCAAGATTGTCCGTATAGCGTAAAAAGTGTGGTGCTGTTTGAGTGTCTGAGTGTGGTGTTAAAGTCCAGCAGTGTTTCTTAAATATGCATAATGGCATCAGTATAATGGCAGCAGATGGAGATGGTCACTGCTTGGGATTAATGATTGTAAAAAGCTAATTGTGTCTTAGATTTTTCCCCGTCCTTTAGACGTACTGTGTGTCTTATTAGGTTTGGCTGCAGGTGTCTTGAACCTAAATAGCCTGACGTTATCTGTTGCAAGCTTTAATATCACTGCTAACATGTTGCTGCAACTAGCAATGGTTTGGTCTTGTAAATGTCAGTCCAAAACCAAAAGCTAGTCACTTTAGTTTGGTGAATACAACTGAGGAGAAGCATTATCTGGAAAAATGACTTTGTTGGCCATTATTATTTTTTGACTAATCGACCGTTGACTAATTATTGCAGCTCTCTCCAGAAGAATGTTAACACAATAGAGCGGACAGAGAAGTGAGAAGCTAATTGTGGCCTATGGAGAGTGCAGAGTGTCACAGCTTGTCTCACAGGATCACACGTTTGGTTAATTTATTAAGACATTTGACAGAGTGATTACACACCACTGTGAATGGTTAACAGAGTAACATTTATAATCAGACACTGAGATAAACAGTAATGTGGTGTGAGTCATGATCACTGGAACCGTTACAGTGCATCATGTGGGGGGGGGGGTTATTATAAGCTGTGCATTTTTAGTGCATGTGCGTCAGTTAATTGCAGTCCTTTAATGTAAATACATGCAGGTGCAGAGAGTGTGTGTTGTGCCACATGTATTGTTGACATTTCTGTTTCTTTTAGTTTTGTTCTGTTACAACGCCTCGTGTAGAAAGCCTGTATCCACTTGTCTTTCATTCTTTTTTTATAACTAATGCTGTTGATGTATTGTGTGTAAAAAGGTTTCCATTATCATCATATTGATCCTACGATACTGTTATGTTTGGCTGTGAATAAGAAAATATGAAGGACAGACCATCTATTTCTATATATGTAATATAAGATTACTTTCTTCTCCCTGCTCCTTTTCGGTCAATGGTGTGTTTATAGAGACATGTTTTATAAATAATTGTTATACATTAAGTTGTGCATGCCATGAATGGAACAAATTTAAAATTAAATTAAATTCAATCTGGCCGGGGGCAACAGCTGGAAATGAGCAATGTTGGCTGAAGCTGCCCCATTTACTGTGTTTTGTGACAGTTGATCAAAACTAAACTAAACGTTGGCAATACTACGTTTAAAATGTGGTCGTGCCACAAAGCCCCTTTGTATTGTATTGTGTTGTGTTGTGTGGTGTTGTGTTGTGTTGTGTTGTGTTGTATTGTGTTGTATTGTGTGTTCTGGTGTGTGAGGAGCAGGATCTTTTGGGAGCAGCTTACCTGCCAAAGGTGGGTCCCATGAAGGCGGGGTGTCGGAACATGGCGGCCGTTCCCAGGAAGGTGCCCAGGCCGAGGGGGGAGCCCAGCTGGGCGGAGCCGTTGTGAGGCGGGGGGGCGAGGCCGGGGAAGGCGGCGGCCGCGGCTGCAGCAGCCGACCAGGCCGACTCCAGGGCCGGGTGGTGGTGGGGGGGGAAGGGGCCCCCCTCCAGGTAGTGGCTGAGGGGGTGCCCCGCTGTCAGGGCCCCGGGGAACGGCAGGCCCGAGTGGTGGCCCGGCACCCCCGCCTTCTCACGCTTCCTCCACTTGGCCCGGCGGTTCTGAAACCAAACCTGAGGAGGGAGGAGGGAGGAGGGAGGAGGGAGGAGGAGGGAGGAGGGAGGAGGGAGGAGGGTTAGTATCTCACTGGCTTTTCATGTGTGATTGCTTTTCAAGATTCAAGGCTTTTCTTGTCATTCGTACACAGTGTAGTTATGACAATGAACATCTGAGGTCACAGGCTCCAACAACAGTGCAACACAATAAAACAGATAAAATAGTGCAAGTAAATACAAGACAATAGAATAGAAGTAGTGCCATAAGAGTCTATATACGAGTGATACATCATTTGTAAGTTGCAAACAGGTGAATGTTATGTTCTTAGTTCCGGTGTTTATTGTTGTTTTATTGCTCGATTTTAATGTGACTTTTACTATATTTATTTGTTGTCCTTTTTTTACTACCTCTGTAAAGCGACTCTGAGCACCTGTAAAAGCGCTTACAAAATAAATGTATTTATTATTATTATTAATATGAGGTTTCATGTCACTGAAGATAGCAGGAAGGGACATGGTTTTAGGAAGAGACAGGTCCATGTGTAGGGAATTCAAAAAACTGTGCCAACACTTTCTAAACATTTTGGAGGTGCATAAAGTTGCTGTTCTTACAATGAGGTGAACCCAGATTCAAATTAAGACAGTCATCACCTCAAAAATGAGTGCATGGATAGGCATAAACTGGTATATATATACTTTTTCTTATCTTAGGGGGCCATGTCTGGCCCTCAATCACAGTTTTTTGAGGCGAGGGAGGGGGGTTAATATAAGGTTTCATCTTACTTAAGTTAGCAGGAAGATGCAGGAAAATTATTTTAGGAAGAGACAGGTTCATGTGATAAAATAAAATGGTGTGCCAACACTTTCTAGACATCAGGACTTATTACTTACTATAGGACCAAATTCTTGAGGCACTTTTAAAACAGGTAATTGGTGCTACTGTTTTTAAAATGAAATAACCCAGAATATAACTATAACAGTATAATCCTTGTGCCAACATGAATAAATGAAAAAGGCTCAAACTGGTAAATGCATATGTTGTTTTTTTTTAATCCTGGGGGGCCATGTTTGCCCCTTGATAACAGTTTTTTGGGGGCTTTGAGAGCTTTTTTTTTTTTAACCCTTTGACCCCAAAACTATTGGTTCATGTGATTTAAATAGATTCAAGCTTCAGAAAAATTGTCTGACTTGCATCAAATCACATCAAAACACAACCATGCAGTCCATACATGAATAAGAACAGGTGTGCAAATCTGTATTAAAAAGCAAAGACCGTTTATTTTCCTTTTATAAAATATATATTTCAGTTTTGATTGAAGCTAATCTCTTTCTCAATATAAATAGCATTTTTGCTGCATGGTATTTATATATTGTTTAAACTCTGTGTCCTGCAGGTCTTTCATGCTATGAATGATCAAACTGTCCTGCTCTCACACACAGTGTTGTCTCCTGGTAATCACACACTGTATGGGGGCCGGTGTCATGCTCTCTAACACCGTCTCCTTCAGGTGCTGTCCAACAGGCGGAAAGTCACCGGTAATTACATGCACGGTAAACCCTGCAGCTCACGGTCCCTTAAATCTGCGTTCTGTCTAATTAAACCCCCTGTCCCTCTGTACAGGAGGAGGGGGGGGAGATAATTAAGAGCCGTGTTAACAAAAGATCCAGAAGATTGCCGCTGAACTGGCTCCAATAACAATTAATGCGCTTTAAATTAAATTCTTAGGAGATGTAGAACAAGTGACTTCCATCCCGGGAGAGTATTTAACTTTCCCACGCATTCACTGTTGCCCAGTTTGCTCTGCAGAAGCACAATGAGCAAAATGTCAACACGAGAGGGGAGAGATTGAAGGACAGACACACACACACACACACACACACACACACACACACACACACACACACACACACACACACACACACACCACACACACACACACACACACACACACACACACACACACACACACACACCACACACACACACACACACACACACTTTATTCCCAGAGGGCTGTTTAGCATTACACAGCCCCTCGGGAATTTATGAGTTTTTATCACCTCCTGATGGCGCCCGTTAAGTGATTTGTTCACCTTTGGGCCCCTGAGGAGACATCTGTTGTTGCACCGGAGCTGTTTGAACTGTCTCTCTTGGTTATGAGCTCGAGCTTTCGACATGCAAGCCACGCTTTCAGTGCGAGGGGAAGGGGGGGTGAGGAGAAAGGGGGGGAGCAAACACCTTTTAATGGTCTCCCATTCGCTCCCAAGTGCAAAGCATGGGATCAATGCAGGTCTATTGCAATCACATAATGGGAAATCAAATAGCATTATCCCTCCCCTCTCTCTCTCTCTGCTATTCCTGCACACACACACACACAGCCACACAAACACACACACACCATCTCCTCCCAGGACAGTGTTTGCTCCTGCACTAAGTGAGCTTTTTATGAATCGCCAGCCTCGCCTTAATTGCCTCTAAAACGCGCGTAATAACATTCAATAACAGGAAAGACCTTCCATTTAACACATTTGGCTGTAATAAATTACCGACTCAAATTGGCCCCTTTAATCGCTTATCCTCAATCAGTGACGCATATCACCTCTTATTACCCAGCTTTTATACACAGGACATAAAACATGATTTGATTTACAGCAGGGTGATTTTTTTTTTTAAAGATAAACACTTACTTGCACACGGGCCTCGGTGAGATCCAGACGCATTGCGAGCTCCTCTCTGAAAAAAGATTATATTTAAAGTGTAAGAAGAAGGAGAGAAATTCAAGGTTATACAGACCGCCGTTTGGCAGAAATTTGGAATTGCTGTTTTGTCCCCTCCTGTTGTTCACTGTCAACAATAGACGGCTGAAAATAGGCTTGATTTTCTGTGCTGCCCCCTGGATAAACTGCAGAAATACGCCACAGCCATATTCTATTTTCCCTGTCACGGATGGGTAGAAATAGGCCTAGTGATTGTTAGATTTCCCCTTAGCACAGGCCTGTCACTGTAACAACATAATGGTTGGAAATAATGACATCTAAACTAGCCTGCCACAAAGCAATTGACGCTGCCTTCACTGCGAGGCGGCTGCAGGTTAAATTAGACCTCCAAGTCGCCTAAAGTAAATCGATTGGAAAATATGAATAATCCCAGTGGTGAAAGAAATCGAAAATGTAGGTCTTTGTGGAAGAATATCGTACACTTTCACACATAAATCTTACATTTGAAAAATACAAGTCTCCAATTGTAGATTCTTTTCTTTAGGCCCTGAGAAAAAAATCCTAGAACTGTTTGTTTTCTTAAGCATTTACCAGCATAAAGGAGAAAGTGTGTAAAGCTCCGTGTTTTGTGTGAGCAGGTGTCCTTGGTTTTGAGGTTAATTATTATTATTATAATATTTTTGCAGACTGTATTTAGTACCAGGTCCGCCTCAGATAGAGGTAACAAAACGTCCCCATGTTAGCACTCAATGCTTCAATGCGGTGCACGGGCTTATTGTTGGGGCATTTTATGAGGTGAGACCTGCAGACTGTCCAGTTTTAAGTGTGCAATTACTTTGGAAAATTAAATAGGTGGTGGATATTTTATTTAAAATAAAAAACATGCATTTAATTATCTCCTTTTATCAATGCATTAAATAGAGAACAGTTCAAATGTTTTCATGCATTTGTTTTATTTGATTTCAAACCTATATAATAATATGTCCTATAACATAATGATTATAAAACACAATTGTCTATGGGTGAATTGTAATTGTTAATATTATATTTGCATGTAAATTACAATTCTTAGGCCTAATTTTCCTCATTGTAAATTGTAAACGAATAGGCTATAATGCAGAATTTGTAAATAAAATAAATTAATAGTTTGGGAAAACAACATTTAAAAGCCTTTTTTAAATTTAAATATATACAATACAAAAATACAAATGTAATAACAAATTAATTAAATAAAAAACATTTCAAATGAATTTAAAACATCCAGTTTTCTCACCTGGTGAAGACGTCCGGGTAGTGTGTTTTCTGGAAAGCCCTCTCCAGTTCCTCCAGCTGGTAGCTGGTGAAGGTAGTCCTGTATCTTCTCTGCTTCCGTTTCAGCATGCACTCCTCCGAGTCACTGCCCGCCGACAGACACACGCTGTCCTCCCCGTCCCTCCCGTCCCCATCCCCGGCGTTCAAGCTCTCCCTCTCCTCGTCCTTCGGGGATAGAGCCGCCGCGTCCCCGCAGTTCTCCTCCTCTTTCCCGACGTCCTCCTCGAACTTCAGCGGGCCGAGCTCCACCAGGCTGCCGTCCTCCGACCCCTCCCCGGGGCTCTGGTCGCCCTCTCCCCGGCTCAGGGACGCGTTCTCCCCGGTACGACTTGCTGCGGCTGATGCTCACCTGCGGAGCCTGGCTGATCTTCAGGCTGTCGCTGGCCTCCATGAGGAGCCGCTCCCGGTCCAGAGAGTCCGGGTGCTCGTGGAGGAACTTCCCCCCGACTCCATACAGCCGGCGCAGCTTGGGGGGCAGGTGCATGTCCGCGCTGAGGGAGAAGGGGTCTTTCGTTGACCCTGGGGAGGAAGATTTCGACACAAATGAATACAAGGTGCACACATTTTCCTCTGAATATAGGTGATTTAGGCCTGTAAATAATATTTTGTCTTTTACTGGTTTTAGACACCTGGATCTGCGTGAATAGAGACGATAGTTTATAATTGAATTGAATCCCCACTAAATGTCTTCTAACATTTACACGAAGCAGACCTCTGACTCTGCCTCTTCTTGCACCAAGTTCCACTCAGTTATTGTTCTTGGACAGAATGAGTGTTCCATATAAAAAGCTAAATATTCGCGTAAAGTTCAGAGAGTTTGCTTTACGGGTTGCACCCCTGACAGGCTCCATACATCGAGGCTGTTACTTTGCCAACATTCATAAAAATAAAATAAAAACGATATTCTGCTGCATAAACACAACTCTTTTTGACGCATTATTTAACATTACGCACCGAGTCTCACACCTCGCAATGCTCCAAAATAACCGATAGACTTTTTTTTAAATGTCCAAACTTACTGTCAGCCTTGTCCAGCTCCCCTCTGCCGGGCAAACTTTGCGCCCCTATGATCCGGACCTTGCAGGGGCTGCGGCGGCCCAGGATGCTGTCTATGCAGTAAGAGGAGAGCAGGGTGGGGGATTTGCTGCTTTTCCTCTCGGCCCGCTCGTGGAGATCTTCCTCAAACTGACCGCTCATGTCGACGCTTCGGTTCATCTCGGCTCTCTGTGTGTCCCTCTCTCGGGGTCCCGGGTGCTCCTCTCTCGTGCCGGTGTGTCACTCTCTCTCTCCTCTCTCGTGCCGGTGTGTCACTCTCTCTCCTCTCTCTCTCTCTCACTGTCACTCCTCTAATGACAGACAGCGGTTTGGCTGCGCGCTCTGCTCTCTCCACACTGCTGTTGCGCGCCTGATTGGCTCGTACGTGTGTATGTGGGGGAGAGACTGGCTTTATATATTTCACCGTTAAAGTTAATTTGAGGGAAAGGGAACCAAAGCCTGACATGGACTACTTTTATTCAGTGGAACGAACTTAGAAGATACACTTTCACTTGCTTTATTTTCCATTTTCTTACCTTATTTGTTTGTTTAAATGTCCTTCAGTATAACAGGTTATCTGCTTTCTTTGTGTTGTGTTCAAAGAGCAGTACAGATGAGTGGCCAGAAAAAAATAAATGTACTTAATTTCATTAAAAACAATATAGCAACCACAATAATCAGATTGTAAGATTAGTCCAGAATCATGCATGAAAAAAACAAACACATTTTTCTCCATGGCATTTTGAACATGTAACAATATGAGTTATATATAAAATGAATGAAGCTTAAACTCCATTTACTGTCTTGTTTCCACTGTGGGGAAAAAAGACTATTACAGTCTTTAAATTAAAACAGTGGTATCAACTTCCACTGTTAGTGCGACTCCATTAATTCTTCAACATTACCGGTTCGACCTCCATTTTAACAATTTATCTTAAGGGGCTTTTTAATAAAAGGGCCTACTTTTATATTATTTGGGGATATTTCTTTTTGACAGTTTATTTAAATAATAGCACATGGAAATAATCAAAGGCTATGCATAATAGCATACAATAAAAAATATATAAATACATTTAAAATATAACTATTAAAAGGCACGTATTTTAGAATAGTGTAATTGGACTTTTTTTAATAATATTAATATAATAATAACATAAAGATTAATAAACCAGAAATGTTAAAATAATGATTGTGCTTCATCTGATGGTTTTTGGTAGCCTGAATTAGTACCAGGCCTATAGCTAAAGCTTGGCCATGCATGTCTCTGGAATCCTTCTGCAAAGATTAAAATACAAATCTGGCTCGGAGTTTCTCTTCAGCCTCAGAGCACCTGCAGCCATGACAGAGACAGAGTCAGTACAGAAATATCTACAGTGGGATCTGAATTCTGCCTAAAATAGTTTCAATCCAAATATATATTGATTAGTCAGGGGAAACAACAAGTAGTTCATAATAGGATTACAATCAGTATTAATGTCTGTCTGCCTGTCCGTCTCTCCTCCAGCTCTGCAGGAGTTGTGATGGACTCAGAAAGTGATGAGGAGCTGCAGGGGGAGCACGCGGGACTCCTCTGAGGAGAGGAGGGGGAGGGGGGGGGGGGAGATGGACCGAGAATGTAATTTTAAATGAAAGTCTATTTAACCCGCTGTGAATGGCATGACCCTTATCCTCGCCTCAGAGCCCATCACTGTTAAAAGGATCATTTTCAGAATTCAATCCAAAAACTTCAGCAAGCTGCAATTTACTCTCTCATTTTCTCCCTTCTTCTTCTTCTTCTTCTTCTTCTTCTTCTTCTTCTTCTTCTTCTTCTTCTTCTTCTTCTTCTTCTTCTTCTTCTTCTTCTTCTTCTTCTTCTTCTTCTTCTTCTTCTTCTTCTTCTTCTACCCCCCCGTTATGTATCTGCAGCAAACGAAAAAACAACAATGAAATGTAAGTCTTTTAAAGCGATAGCGTTATCAGCCTTTTGTGATTGAAACTGAAATAAGAGCCCCATTGATCTGTTTAGTTAAGGTGCCGTCGAACCCAATATCTTAGTTCTATTTCTATATTAAACAGTCACAAACGCTGATGAACCTTTCTGTGTTAATTTACCCTTCAGCGTTATTAAAATCCACAAATGTGTGTTTCTTCCTGTATTTATTAGTGCATTATTATAGTCAGATGTACCCGGATGTTGTCATTTGTAATCCACCTGCAACTTTTCAGTGTCACAAACTTCCCCGCTTGTTTATTCGTCTCTGTATCAATGTAATGAGAGTAATAACAATATAAAATGTTATGCCTTTTGCTGCGCGGTCACAAACAAGACGCGCGTAATACAGACGGGTATTTAGAGTCGCTCTGTAATTTGGGGGCCACAATTTGATTCATTTATCCGCACACTGTTATTAACCCTGTGGAAAAAGAGATGTCAGCCGCCATTTCAGCCAGCAGGACATCCGCGCTTTGTTTAAATGCACTAATTACGCGCATACATTAGAGGGGGACGGAATTTTCACATTTTCAATTTCTCGTCTGTTTGACGTGCAGGTGAAGAGATGGCGGGGAGAGAGGCCGCCTCCCCGGTATTTGCCTAACATGCTAACTTGATAATATCCAGGGGAGACTGCGGGATGCATGCTTTCTGTGCCTTTAACGCAGTCATTGCTATTCTGTCGTGCACTATACAGGGAGGTGTGCGTTTCAAACACACGTTTTAACGCCTTTCCTCTGTGATGCAGACTCTCAAGACGAAGTGACACTGATGAGGTCCATCAGCAGAGTGAGGGTCTCTCGACTGGCGCCATCTCCTGGATGTATAGGCAAACAGGTAAAACCCAGTTATAATGTAAAGGAAATGGGGTGCATTCATAACGTGTTGGTGTTTCCATTCTGTGCAACCCTGCAAAGTTAGGTTAGGTAAAAATATTGAGTTCAAATTAATATGTTTGCCTTTAAGCTCACTCTATACAATCATGTAGAACCTGTTGACATACTACTTTTAATTAAAGTGAACGTTTCAATTTCATTCATACTGTTCAGGGAAACTAACACACAGACACACAGACACACAGACACACAGACACACACACACACACACACACACACACACACACACACACACACACACACACACACACAGCTGGAGCATCTAGGGTTCAGTATCTTGCCCAATGATACATCAACATGATGACTGCAGGGACTTCAAGCATCCTGAGATAGATACTCTATTGTTCTGCCTCCATATCGAACAATAGGAACAAGGAATACAGACAGTTTCAGAAAGGTGAACCCCACATCCTATTTATTTTTCTATTATCCCATAAATGTGCAACATGTGAAAAGTGCATGCACTAACTGGCTGCTGGCCTTCGACTCTTCCTCCATCCGTCCCATAATTGGACACTTGCTCTGCCTGAGAGGCCAAGAAGGAAAGGAGGGAGGAAGAGAGAGAGAGTGTGTGTGGGGAGGGGGAGGCTTTTAAGGCGCGCGTAAGCAAAGTTAATTAGCGGTTATTAACAGCCCGCATAATGAGAGCGAGAGGGAGTCAATTTAATGACTTTGTTAGCGCGAGTTCAGAGCGACAGGCGATGATCGAAACAACAAAGGCGAGCGCGCACGCAGCCATCACGCGTAATTTCCAGCGGTAATGTGGTCTGATCCGAAACAAAGGCCTCTAATTTCGTTCAACTGACTCGATAATTTGTCCTTATGTAAGGAAAATAATTAATGACTTAATGTTTCAACAGAAGAAGCTTTCTTTGGGGGGATTTCGGAGGCCTCAATTGCCGAGAAGGTCGTAAGGAAATCAATTTCCAAGCCTATAATTATTTACATCACACATTTAAAACGTGGACGTGTGCCTCTGCTGCTCCAGTGAGAGTCTATTAGAGGAGAAGGAGCCTCCAAATCTTCTTCCCTCAGACAAATTGTGTGTGGCAACAAATGAGCCACTTGTCATAATGTAGTATTGTGGATCCTGCCATGAGAACACAAAGAAAATCAAGCAGAATCTGAAAGGATTGAAGGCTTTTAAAGCCAGATATCAGATCCAAGAGCTGGACACTTTGAGGTTTCGGTGACAGATGATCACCTTGAGTTGATGGCCCTCACGCCTCTACCTGCTCTCGACAATGTGCCCGGTTATTGTGGGCGCTGCATTGCAAAATTATCCGAGGCTAGGCGTCTTTACGCATGATTTCATCATTCCACAGATGGCTTGAGTCGGAGGAAAGATGCGAGCGCTATTATCGATCGAGGGAACATGAGCCGCCGCCTGCGGGCCACTCTTGGATTCATGGCAGGTGATAGGTCACCCACACGAGAGCCGCAATCTCACGGCCCCCATTGTCTCCACTGATTACTGCTTTGATCACAGGAATCAGGAGCCCGAGACTCTCCTAAAGCCACTACTGAGTCCAGGAGCTCGTGAGCTGAAGAGGTCATCATCATCATCACGACCACCATCATCATCATCATCATAACCGCCATCATCGTCGCTAGTTGACCGCACAGACCTGAGGTGTCGTGTGTTTTCACAGCCGCGTTGCCCTTTTATTGATTGCGTGCCTTAATTTTAATTCGATTGCGCGAGTGTCAAAAATTCCGCAAGAATCATCCTAGTAATGAGATAATCAAAGTAATATATGCAAATCAGTTATGATGCCAGCTTATCAAAGCGGAGTGCCCCCCCCTCGAGCTTGAAGAAGTCCATTTATTCAGTTAGTGGCAATACCTTGCGCAAATGGCGCGATGCAAATGACAGTTGATTAGACTAAATTAAGAACCTCGTTCCTGCCTGACCTTGTCTGAGTTTTATGTAAATTCTTTTATTCTTGCTTTAATGTGATAAAAATGGCATTTTACACCTTGGCCTTTAAGAATCCCAACAATATTTTCCGTGAGAGAAACAATGGTCCGGCTGAAATAACTCACTGTGTGATGTGTCTGTCTCTCAGAGGACCTTTGACCCCCGGCGGCCCCCACAGGGACGGAGAGTGTGCCGTTATAACTTCCTTGCTGTGGGGGAGTGTGCCTCGAAGATAGACTCGGAGTGTGTGCCTGTGAGTGTGTGTATTTACACGATTATGTGTACTCGTGTGTGTACCATAACATATTGTCTTAGGGGGACAGAGAGTGCCGCTGAGACTTCCTCTCTGTGGGGTGTGTGGGGCCTGTAGATGGGAAAGGAATAAATCCAATATAGATTGCAGGGCTGCGCTGCCTCCCGCTGGGGACCCTCAGACTTGCAGGCCAGGATCGAAGTGCTTTTCTCCCCCTAAATTGGCCTGAGAGGCCGCAGGAGCAGCCGA